TCAGCCAAGGAGGTGTCGCAGCACCTTTAATGACCTCCAGAGAGTGCAGGCCAGGAGGCGCAGACCCCTGGGTCCAGTGTCTTTGGGCCTGGGGAGGCCAAAAGAGGCTTCTGGAGAAAGAACCAGATCTTCACTTTCCTGTTTCCTGGGAATTCTTTGCAGCCGCCTTCATCCTGCTAGCAGCCACTTTGGCTGGCAGACACGGCCCTGCGTGCTGCTGCTCCCTGAGAAGCCCTGGCCGGCCAGAGGGTCACTAGAAAGAAGACATTTGGCTGCCTGAACGGAGGGGGAGCAGGAAGGCATTATTTTTTGGGGGGGGAGGGGCTGGAACGGGCAACAGATCCAAAAGCAGGCACTTTAGCAGCTCATCTCTGAATGACAAAACACACACACACACACACAAACACACAGCAGGACCCAGCTCTCCCTGCAAGACTCTCACCCCCCCCCAAAGGTCAGCAAGATCTGGAGATGCAGGAGGGCAGTGGGGGCCTGACCTTCCTCACCGGGGTGGAGAGAGAGATAGAAACAGCAGCCTCTGGACGGACTGAAATGAGGCAAATTCTGACCTCCAATGGGGGGGGGGGCTGCGTGAGCAGGAAGAAAGCCAGAGCGGGGTGAATGGGGAAGGCTGCCCGGTGCTGCCAAGACTGGCATCTGCCCGTCTGCAGGGCAAAGGCCTTCCGGGCGTCTCTTGGTGGGTTCAGCCCTCCAGCGGTCTCAAAAGAGCCCGAGAGAAGCAGAAGCATGAAGGGGCCTCTCTCTCTTTCCAGCAAAGTCCATCCAGACCAGTGTTTCTCAACCTTGACCATTTTAAGGCATGTGGACTTCAACTCCCAGAACTCCACAGCCAGCATTGCTGGCTGTGGAATTCTGGGAGTTGAAGTCCACATGCCTTAAAATGGTCAAGGTTGAGAAACACTGATCCAGACGGCAGTGAAGGAAACCTCCCAGGCTCCAGGCAGCCTTCTGGTGGTCCGCCTCTGGAGACCCTCAGCCGTCCAGGGCTGCCCCCAAAGGGTCTTCTTCAAAAGGCAACCGGACTTTCCTGGTGTTTCCTTGAAGACGTTTCGCTCCTCCTTCACGAGGTGAAGAAGCTTCTTGGAGGAGGAGCGAAAACGTCTTCAAGGAAACACCAAGAAAGTCTGGTTGCCTTTTGAAGAAGCCCCCTTGGGACTTGCTGAGATCTCCACGTCTGGCCACAAAAGGAGACAGAGGAGGGCACTGCGAGGCACCAGGGGGGACCTTCCCTGCCCTCCGGGGATCCTGCTGCCCCACTTCCACCAGAGGATCCCAGCCACACAGAGAGGCTCCGGGGCTGGGCCGCCCGTGTGGCCTCTCCCTCCGGGACGAGTGCTGGGTTGATGTTTGCCCAGCAAGGCCAAGAAGGAAGGTGCCAGGAGGGAGAGGGCAGGTTCCCCACTCCTCATCTGAAGCCTCTTCCGCACTTTCCTGACTGGCACACCTGGACTTGGAAGGGGCCCCTCCGAAGCGGCTGAGCAGTTTCTTTCAAAAGAAGGATTTGCCCCCTCTGCTGCTCCTTCCTTCCTTCCTTCCTTCCTTCCTTCCTTCCTTCCTTCCTTCCTTCCTTCCTTCCTTCCTTCCTTCCTTCCTTCCTTCCTTCCTTCCCTTTCTTTTTCTTTCTTTCTTTCTTTCCTTTCTTTCTTTCTTTCCTTTCTTCTCTCTCTCTCTCTCTTTCTTCTTTCTTTCTCTCTTCTCTTTCTTCCCTCCCTCCCTCCCTTCTCCCAGGGAGCCCCCAGGCCGAGCAGTGCCAACCCCTTGGTCCCACCTCTTGGCCCAGGAGAGACCCCTGCCTGACTGGTTCTGGCAGGGCTTGGGGCACAAGGGCCACCCTGTACCCAGAGTCTCCAACTCTCCTGCCCAGGATGAGGTCCAGAAGGAGCTCCTGCTGCATCCATGCCAGTTCCAAATCTGGGGACAAGGCGAGGCCTCTGGGGCGGCGGTCTGGGGCTGGGCTGAAATCCTGAGGGCATCCTGGCCACACTCTGCAAGGGCTTCACACAATGAGCACCAGCCACATTAGGTGTTGGGCAGCTGACTTGCTCAGGCGACTTGCATGAACGCCAGTCCTTTGTTCTAGCAGGATCCAATTCCTGCAACGCAAACGGCTGACATCTTTCCCTGACGCTGCGCCGGTTCCAGCCCTCCTGATACCTGGGAACAGGCCCTGCGCTGCACGGCGAGACCCTCCCACCTGCCCTGAGGCAGCGGACAAGGCTGGTCCCACCCCAGCCTCCCTGCGGCCCTTCCCATCAATGCCGCCTCCTCCTCCTCCTCCTCCCCCCCCCGTTTCCCAGGCAGGAGCGCCTTTTAACTGTGGACACATTTCAGCCTCACCAGATCTGCTAATTATTGACAGTTGGCAGAAGAGGAGATGTCACTCCCCCCTCCTGTTAAACTGCATCTAATTAGTAATTGCTGCTTCACTGTCATCGTGCGGCTGCTGCGGCAACACCACGGCTCGTTGGCTCATTAACCTCTTGCTTCTCCAATGGCGCCTGCCAGCAACGGGAGGCTCAGACAGATGGGCGGAGCTGCCCTCCTGGTCGCAGAGCCTTCAGAAGGAGGCCCGGGCCTGGGCCAGACCTTCAGCTGGCCTTCAGTCCGTGGAGGGGCAGCTTGGGGTGGTCCGGCCGGCTGCGGAAGGAGAGTTGCTCCCAACCTGCGCTGGGCAAGGGCTGCGCCAGGCAGCTCCTCACAAGGAGAGGCTAGAAGGTTTGGGCGACTGAGGGGCACCTGCTGACGCCCATAGAGAGGAGTACCATGGGGGGGGGAGGAGGAGGAGGAGGAGGAAGAAGAGGAGGAGGAGGAGTTTATTCCTTGCTGGAAAAAAGCAGCAGCACCATCCAAGGCCCCCTCCTTCGGGAAGGAGTTTGAAACTTGAAGTGGGCATCACGCAGGGCATGGCTGCTGACCTGAGGGGGGTTTCAAGGTCCTGGACCTGGCAATGCCCGCTGACTCGGAGGGTTTCCAACTCATCTCTCAGGCACTGGGGGGGGGGGAACTAGGAGTTGCCCTCTGCAACTCCTGTGCCTTCCACCCCCCACTTAGCAGCATCTGGCTGGCCCTGCAGAGGAACCCAGCGCTGGGCTCCCCTTCAGCATCCCTGCTCTGTGCTGCCACCCCCTTCCCGCCCCCCTCCCAGACTCTCAACTGAAGCTCTGGCAAGCCAGAATCCCTTTGGATGGGGGGGGGTGAGCCAAAGAATTTTAATCAATCAATCAGTTAGAAAGATTCCCTGGAGGGGGGCCAAAGGCAAGACTCAAAGGGGCGATGAAGCAGCCAGGGCAGGGGGCACAGCTGGGGGGGGGGGCTAGGCAAGGGGGACGAGGTGGAGGAAAAAGGGGCCCCTTTTGCAAGCCCACCCCAAGCGCCCCCTTTTCTCCAGTCTCGGGGCCCCTCCGGGAGACTCTGGGAAATGGGAGCCAGCCAGGAAGGGAAGGGCACAGCTCATCACAGGTCCACTTGCTGCAGGAGAATTCAACCATTCAATTTATTTAAAATAGTTTAAAAATATTTTAACTCTTGTCATTCACATTTCATTTTGTCTCTCCTTTGACCTCCTTTCTTGAAGGAGTCTGTTCCTCTATTTCTGTGATATTAGTGTCACTCTTGTCCCGTGGCCAGTTGTCCCGTGGCCAGTTGTGGCAGGTCCCCCAGGAGAACCCCCCTACCCTTTCTGGCCCTCCTGCTGGGCACCGGGAATGGCCGAGGCCTCATCCCTGTTCGCTCCAGAGCCACTTGCCCTCCCAGGCAGGCAGGCAGGCAGGCAGGCAGGCACCGCCTCCACCCCGCTGGCCCTCCCAGCCCTTGTCTCAGGAGCCCCGGGGAAGGGGGCTCCAAGGGGGGGGTCCTGCAAGTGGGACTTCCGGTCAGGTGGCCTCCTCCATCCCTGCCTCAGGAGCCTAAGCCAAACCCCCATTTCCTGCCCAGAAAGGCCACCTTCTCGGGGTGCCGGGCTCCCAGCCTCCGGGGCCCAGGGTTGCTGCTGGCCCCTGCCCCTTTGGGGGGGGCTTGCAAGGGGCCGTTTTCACTCCTCCCCCCCAGCCCCATTTCCTGCAGGGCAGAGCAAGCAAAGGCGGAGTCCCTGCCCCTGCCTGAGAGGGGCTCTTGCCTGCTCAGAGGGCTCCCCTCGGCTTATCCGGGTAACCCATTAAAGTCCTTTGATCAATTAAAGTGCTGCTCTAATTAAAACGGGGCAGCCCACCCCCACCCCAGCCCCGCTTTTCATGAAAGGGCTTCAGAAATTCCAGGTGGCCCATTGCAAAGCCAGCAGAGGGGCGGGGCGGGGGGGGGGCGCGGCGGCAGTCCTCTGAAGCTGCCCTTCCCTGATCTGGGGACACAAAGGAGGAAAAGATTTTTCCTGTCCAACTGTTGCCCAAACCGGGACTTTCACATGCAAATCCCGTGCCAGCTTCACCAATCCAGAGAGATTTAAACCACCACATTTTATTTACTTCTCAAATCTGCAGGCAGCACCATTGCCCTCCCGCTATTTATTTACTAGTTATATTGGTTAAACCCTTCCTACAGTGAGTTGTTATTTGCAATCAAACCCAGCACCCCATAAAGTTAAAGGGACGCCCTCCCAAACAGAGAACCACCTTCAAGTAAGGGCCACACCTGCCACCTTGGGACAAAACCATCAAAACCTTGTAAATGGCTCAACAACTTCCTGGGGTGCCACGCACTCTCTGTCGCCCACCCCAAAGACTACAAGCAGAGATCTGACCTGGGGGCTCCTGGAGGGTCCCAGATCATGGTGGGGGTCCCATCCATTCATGGAAGCAGCCCTGGGTGCACTCCAAGCGGGATCCACAGGTGAGCAAGCGCCCTGCCCACGGAGGCACTGAGCTGGGGCTCTGGAGCAGGCGGGCTCAGGACATCCACGCCCGCCCCTCAGGGATGCCCCTGGCCCCTTCCACAAGAGCGCCCCCTTACCCCCCCGGGGGGGGGACCAGAACGAGCGTGTCACTGACCTCGGACATCTGGGGGAAGAGGCTGATGGCCATGGGCAGGGCGAGGCCGAAGGCGGCAAGGCACACGAGGCTTTGGACGGGGAGAAGCATCCGAGGTCGGGAGCGCAGGAAGGCCGTCCTGCAAGACAGACAGACGCCACCGTCAGAGAGAGAACCCCACAGGGACCCCCTTCTCCGCCCCACTCGCCTCCCAGCAGCCCTCTTTGGAGAGAAGACCCAGCAATTTAGCCCTGAGGGTCCTGCGGTGAAACAGAGTCGGAGGCCATCTTTTGGGTGAGGGACTGGCCCTTGTCACCCACCCTGGCCAGAACGCCCCGATTCCCCGTCCTGGCCAGCCAGCCAGCCACTGTCTGTCTGTCTGTCTGTCTGTCTGTGTCTCTCTCCTTCTGTTCCTCAAGGACCCACAAAGGGCGAAGCAGGAATCAGGACGAGATTCAGGACCGACACAGGAAGATTTTCTTTGCCCCCAGCAAAACTTTGTGAGGGATGGACAAGACAGTGAAGGCTCTCAGTGACCCCCCCCCCGCGACCCTGCCTTGGCTCTGAGGGGCCCTTGACAATTGCCCTCTTTGCGCCCAGAGGATGAGGGCAGCATTGTCCACTGAGGACATCAGGCCCCTGCCCTTGCAACCTCCATTTACCTGCCTTGCCTTCATCCCTGAGAGCTTTGGCAACGGGGTCATCACCTCCCCAGTCGGGCAAGGCCCTGAGGGGCTGCCCTTGCAAAGAGGCCGCCATGCCTAAGGGGACTGGACAAACCAGAGCCGTGGAGGCAGGGCAGAAGGACGCAGGCGGTCACCCCCCCTTTTTTTCTCTCATCGGGGGAGCCTCTCCCCTCCATCCCCACATCTGGTAAGGGTGACGGGAGTCCCTCGAAATTCCACCCAGCACCTTCGCAACCAAAGCTGGCAGCCCACTGGGGCCCGAGTGGATCACGCCCGGCCCCTCTGGGCTGCTGCCCCTCTTCCCTTTTGGGGTCTGCCTTCACTTAATTACAGCCGCTGGGCTCCTCCACATTTATGCGGGGAGCAGAACCAATTTAGAGCGTTGCTGGTGAGGCTCCCAGGTGTGACTTCCACCCTGGGCGTTTTCAACTCGGACCCATTCAGTTCACAATGGCTGCGGCCTCCTAATTAGCAGGAGTTATGGCCTGATTTAAAGAAAAAGCCTTAATTATCACATGAAGTGCCACGTCTTAATTGGGACTCAGATCTCAGCATTTGTAAAGTTCAGGCTAAATGACTCACAATTAAGCGAGAGGGAGGCTCGCCCCCAGCCTTCAGATCCCTGCTCTTAAAATCGCAGCAAGCCCCAAACGCGGCCCGCAAGGACGCCACCCTCATCCTGCACACCAGCCAGGGCGCGCCTTGCCCACCCCAGGCCTCTGCCCCCCACCTTCCCTGGCTTTCTCTGCCAGGTGTGGGCTAAGGAGCAGGTCAGCTTTGGATGGAGGCCGTGAGGTCACCGAGCCCCAAGTGGGAATTCACTGGCGGGAATCCGGTGGCAAGGGGAGCCCTGGGAAGCAGAAGGGCCTGGCGGCTCAGCAGGCCTCTCAGTGGGAAGGTCCAGGACAAAAGGCCGGGCTGGATTCTTTGGACTTTATGATGGAGCTATGGCTGTTTCCATTATCTGCGGAGATTCTCTGTCATCCGGGATCCTGGTTGTCCGAAAGGGGTTTTTTCCAAAAGGCAACTGGACTTTTCTTGTTGTTTTACTTTGAAAATGTTTCACTTCTCATCCAAGGAACTTCTGCAGTTCTGTTCTTTTTCAAAACTGATGAGGTGAAATGTTTTCAAGAGAAAAAAAAAAAAAAACAAGAAAGTCCAGTTGCCTTTTGGAAAAGGCCCGTTTGGATTGTTCTCACTGCAGCCGAGATCACCAAGCCTGTGTGAGGAGTCCCTGGGTGTCATTCACGTCCGTGATGCTTCCAGAAGCTCAGCTGGAGCAAAATAAAACCTCCGTCCTTCTGCGGGGCAGCTGGGCAGCGCCTGAATCTGATATCACAATCCTTAGCCAGGGGTAGGCCACCTTGGCTCTTTTATGACTCCTGGACTTCAACTCCCAGAATTCCTGAGCCAGCCATGCTGAGGGGAAAGGGAGAGGTTTCCAAGCTGAGCCATGCTGGCTCAGGAATTCTGGGAGTTGAAGTCCACGAGTCATGAAGGGGCTAAAGTTTCCCTCATGCTGGCTCAGGAATTCTGGGAGTTGAAGTCCACAAGTCATAAAGCGGCCTAGACCTAGGCCAGGGGTAGGCAAGTTTGGCTCTTTTATGACTGGTGGACTTCAACTCCCAGAATTCCTGAGCCAGCCACGCTGAGGGGAAAGGGAGAGGTTTCCAAGCTGAGCCATGCTGGCTCAGGAATTCTGGGAGTTGAAGTCCACGAGTCATGGGGGCCAAGGTTGCCTACCCCTGGTCTTAGCCATGATGAAGTCCTCTTCTGTGTGTTTCCAACCCAGCTGATACCCCACAAATAAATCAACGGCAAGGAAAAGCAGAGTGGAGCCCTTGGCCAGGCTCGGGGTCATCCCCCTCCCCAGGGCCAGGCCCTGCAGGACCTGGGGGCCGTTGGAGGGGGCAGCTTAGGCTGAGCCTTTCCCGGTGGAGAAGACTCTGAACATCCCCTCCAGAATATCCCCCCTTTGAACAGTCAGCAGGAATCAGCTGGACTAGAAAACAAATCCACTTGGGCACGCAGTTAGTCCTCAACTGAGCCCAAAATTCCCATTGCTAAGCAAGTCAGTGATTAAGTGAGTTTTCCCCATTTTACGACCTTTCTTGCCAGAGTTGTGAAGTGAATCGGGCTTCCCCCCCTTTGACTTTGCTTGTCAGCAGGTCACAAAAGGGGATCCTGCAATCGTCATAAATATGAATCAGATCAAGGGCAGCCCTCTCACTGCCCTGCAGCCCCTCCTGGCTGGGGGCAGGGGGGTGTCAGTGCTGGTCAGCCCACACCATGCAGCCCCCTGGGGCTCTCCAAAGTTGACTGCTTTAAGACTTGTGGACTTCAACTCCCAGAATTCCCCAGCCAGCCGGAATTCTGGGAGTTGAAGTCCACAAGTCTTAAAGTGGCCAAGTCCGGAGAGCCCTGCTTTGGAAACTTGATTTGAAAAGAACAACTGGCATCGGCCCAAATTTCCTTGGGGTTCCCAGAATGCTTTAAAAGGGGGCCCTAATACTCGGAGGCCTGGAAAGAAGGGGGCAAGACTGGGATGGGAGGCAGCGGACCCTCCCCCTCCAGCAAGCAGTAACAACCACAGTGGAAGTGGGGGTCTCCTGGACTGATGACCAGGAATTAGGGGACAGTATTAATTGTGAATACGTATCGATGGCTTCTCTCTCTTTGGTCACTTGTAATCCTGATGCAGGGTCAGCAAAGGACAGCAAGGACAACCCCCAATGTCCTAACCCACCCAAGAACACACGATATCTTTAAGGAACACCCAAAAGGGAACATGTTTAGCTACTTCTGCTTTCTGCCTTCTTATCTACAGTGTGCCAGACTTACTGGGTGCAATCTTTATCTTATGTGTGTCAGCTTTGCTGGATGGGTTGCTTATCTAATTATACAGAATAAATACAAGGGTTTCTTGTCATTTGTTGCTCCCCTCATTTAGAGGAGGCTGTCTCTATTCAGCTGAATAATAACGTAAAACTTAAAAGGCACTTTCTGGCTTCCTGTATTTCTTTAACCAGCAAAACCTCAGAACCTGCATATCAGGACCGATTGTTGCCACCCTGAGTGGCCTCTGCCCCCCTGCCAAGAGAGACAGGGTGCCCTTCTTCACAGCAAGGGCCCCCAGGGCCTCCCCACAGAGCCCCCTCATCTTGGAGACAGGAAGCCCCTTCTAACAGCTCAAGGGGGGGTCGGCAAGCCAGGGCCTCCACCCCCAAAGGGACTCGGAGGAAAAGATGGTGCAGACGGTACATCTGTGCTGCAGACACGGCATGTCACTGAGCTCGAACGCGCACCTTCCCTCAAGTTTCAGCACATGGCTGATTAGCGGTTCACGTTCTGCATAATGCGGCAGCTGTCACCGGCGTCTTCGGAGGGTCTGCAACACCTTCCATATGGAAGTTGCACTTGGGACGCCCAGACCTTCTCGGGCTTGGTGCTCCCGACCGGCAAGGGCCTCGGAGGTGGAGACGGAGGCGCTGAGCGGGAGACGGCGGGAGTGGGGGAGCTCAGGGCAGACTCCGGAGCTGGCAGAATCCGGGTGGGGAACGAAGGGCCGTGTTTATAGTCAACAATGCTGGCATTCGATGTCTCTGGTCAGAGCCACGAAAGAGGAAATGAGGGGTGCTGGGCGCTCTCTGAGCTGGTTGCTTTCTTGCAGCCGTTTCATTGTACGAACAGGCCACAGCATCACTGCTACAAGGGGAAGAGGGCTGGGGAGGAGGAAGAGCAGGAGGAGGTGGAGGAGGAGGAGGTGGAGGAGGAGGGGGGAGAAGGAGGAGGAAGTGGTGATCCTTGGGTTATTTTCTGAGTTCGTTTTTTTTTCTTGCAGATGTTTCATTACTCAAACTAGGTAACATCATCAGTGCAACTAGGGTCATGAAACATCTGCAAGAAAACCAAGCTCAGAGAGCACCCCCCCAGTCCTCCTCCCCACCTCTTCCCCCTCCTCTCCATAGCCCCCCCTCCCTTCTAGCACTGATGATGTTACCTAGTTGGGCAATGAAACAACTGCAAGAAAACAGCTAAGTTGAGAGAGCACCAAGCAGCCATCATTTCAACCCTGAGCTGTAGATGTTCTCCTTTATTGGACTGGGGAAAGGCAGGGGCTTCTGGGGTAGCAAAGGGACCCTTGTGGGCATCCTCCCCCGACTGCTGAACCCCTGGCTCAATACAGGCTGCCTTGCTCCCCCCCCCCGCCCTGACCTGGCAATGGAGGCACCGTCTCCCCAATCACAGGATCCTCAATGCTCAAAGAGTAGGAAACTCTCAAGATCTGCTTGAAAGAGGGGGGTCACCACAAGCCCCCCAAGCAGCCTGCAAGAGGGAGTCTCTTCTCAGCCACTGCCCCCCTCCCTCCCTGCTAGAGCCACCTTCATTCAAGGAATCTGATCTAGCAAAGGTCGAGATGGCCAACTCACAGTGAGCAGGTTGGGCAGCCATATAAATTTGTTTAATGAATAAACAAACCGTTTTGATTAGAGAAGAGACAATATCTATATTTATTGCTGACTGGAAACCCCTTATGGGCTTTTTGCATAAAACAGAAAAAATGAACGTGTGAGCTGAGGCTTTGATGGTTAGACAGGACAGATTGTAGAAAGAAGAGACTCGCGATGTAATTTTAGAGAAGGAAGTAAATCTACAATTGTACTTATAACTGCTGCAAAGAAGACTGGGAGTCTCAAAGGTGGTTTTTCAAAAGACAACCAGACTTTGTTTTTCAAAAGCAAGAAAATGCCTTTTGCCTTTGGGATAAGCAAGACCCTGAGGGACTGGGAACCGCCACAGACAAGACCGGAAGTCAATTTATGTCTTTTTTCTTTCTTTTCTATTTTTCTTCTACTTGAGTTATTTTCTTTTTCATTTTTTCCTCTCTTCCTTTTTCTTTTTTTCCATCTTTATTTTAGTTTTTAAAACTTTCAATAAAATGAACTCAGACTATATAGAGCAGGGGCTCCCAGCTGGGGGTGCGAGACGATATTCCAGGCGGTGCAAAAACTTGGGTTTTCAAAATTATAGCATATATGCATGATTCGTTGCCGTTATCTAGAACTTTTGTAAGGGGTGTGAGAATATATCAGAAGCGTCTTCGGGGTGCAGGGTTTAGAAAAGGTTGGGAGCCCCTGATATAGAGGTTTAGCACAGACTGGGAAAGAACATGGTGAAGGCCCGCTAGGATGGGGCAGGTGCTCTTTTATCCAGTGCGAATGCTGGGCAGTCCCACAATATATGACAGACTCCACCCCAGTTTCAGCTGGGGAACAGTGAGCAAAAATCCAAAAGCTCTAAGGAATTCCTCTTGGCACCCAGACAAATCAGCCATCAACAGACACACAGTGATAAACCACATTTACCCACCATTCGAAAGAGACAAAAAAAGCTAAGAAGGAAAAAAAAAAAAAAGACCAGAGCACATCCTCTCCAGCAGCCCACGCCAAGATAAGCAGGGATCAGCACCAGACAAACAAAATGGGTGGAAAACAATACCCAAATCCAAGTAACTACCAAGGAGAAAACCACATCCCCACCAATAGTGGCAGGGCAAACTACTGTATAAAAACAGGGAGCCAAGCCCACACTCGCTTGCACCGTTGATCTTAACCAGTAAAGTAGCGAAGCATCTGCAAAAAAGCCAAGCTCAGGGGGGCACCAAAGGACCACCCCCCCAGTTCAACCCTGAGACCCCTCTATTGTTCCTGCTACATGGTGCATTTCCCAGACACGGATGGTCCTTCCGTCTCCTCGTTTTACTTCTACTTCTACTTTATAGGTCGCCCAGAGTTGGGTAGCTTCTAAATGTAGTAAGTAAATACACAGAAATTAAGGAGCTTCTCATCAATTATGCAGATGACATAAAAGTGGATGACGGAATGAGACGGCAACCTGCGTGGCTGGAAGTTTCTCTGCTGTGTGACTCCCTTTCCGTTTTCATTGTGAGACATGGGAGACTGTGCTACAAATGGGGAGAAGTCAGGAGAAGCGTCCCTCCTTCAGAAGCCTGGCAGGTCCCTGTGCACTCATTATGTGGAAAATTACACCCCAGAGCACCCCATCTCCTCCGCCATCCTGGGAGGCCTTGACTCCCCTCCCTGCTCCTCCAGCCCCATAGGGAGCCCCCCCTCCCCAGGGCCACCTGCGCCCCACTTACTTCTCAAGGAGAGACATGATGATGGGAGGTAGAACCAGGATCGGCATCGGCAAGACCACTCTCGTGAGCGCCGTCTCCAGGAGGGCCTGGGGAAACGGGGGGCAGTTGCTTAAAGGTTCGTCGCCAGCCCTCCCGGCAGAAACAGTGGGGCAGGACTGGGCCTCTCTCTCACCCACCACCAGGGAGAGCCCTGAGGGGTTTTTCCAGCTGCGCTGGGTCAGTCTCAGCCCACCGTTTGGGCATCCCACTGGGGCAGGGAGCCGCCGACTCTGGAGGGCTCTGGCAGGTGGCCGCCAAAGGGACCATTTGGGGGTCACAAGGACGAACACTCCAAGAATGTTGCGCTTGTGCAAATGGGCCTTCCGCAGGCTGTGCCCACCCTGGTGCCTTCGGCATGTCTTGCCGGCACCTCCTTGCCTGCTGGGAACAGGGCTGAAAGGATGCAACTGATGAGGACCCCGATCTCTGACACCTCTCCCCCCATCGCTCTTGATGCCAGCCCTGCAATTTGCAAAGGTGCCCTTAAAGTGCCCGCCCACACCCACATGAGCCGCTCGGTCCAGGACCTTCTGGACTGCCACAGAGCCTGGGCCTGTGGGTCATCTGTCTGCCCAGGTGGGTGTGCTGAGGCTCAGCCTCTCCCAGATTGGGAAAAGACCCCCATCCAGGTCTCCCATGCCTGCCCCTTCTCATTCTTTGCAAAATGCCACCCCTCTGCATCCTGGAGGAGGCAGCAACTGAGGGGGCAGCCCCCCCGGTGCACAGTGTGACTGCTGCAGAGCAATGCTTAGATCTTCTGGGTGGGGCTGGCAGTCCAAAATAAAAAGCAGTATAAAAATGTTTTGAGTGAGGGGGCTGCAGGGGGCAGGCTTGACCTTGACCCGGGGTCTCTAACTTCCCAAAAGCCGGGGGTCTCCATCTCAGAGGGGCTCTGCCAGCTGAACAGGCGTCCTCTTTTGGGCGGTGTGAAATACAACAGTGACAGAGTCGTGCCCATCAGTGACACAATATGTGAGGCTTTGTGTAGGTTATCTTGGCAAAAAGCTGCCCAGAAACAGAAAGGCCCGGAGTGTCTGCAGATGGTAGGGCTGAAGGAAGAGGTGGGGGCGGGGGGAGGAGAACCAGGCAGGTGTGGGTGGGGTGTCAGGAAACATCTGGAGCATCTTCCCACAGACACAGCTGGTGATCACTAATTAATTCCAATCAGGGAAGTTAGAATTTCTCCTCCCATCCTCCATTTGCCACCCCACAATTGGGCATCCGGACCCTTCCCTCTCGGGGGTGGGGGCAACTGTGGAGGGAGGCAAAACGCCTCCTGCTCTCCTGGACCCCCAGATAATGCCACCCCTCTGCTGGCAGGGCAGAGTGTGGGGGTTGGGGGGTGGGGACCCCCCAAAAGCCTTGACCAGCAGCGGAATGCCCCTTCCCCATAGCACAGGCCCTCCTCTGCCAGTAGCAGAAATTCTCAGAGGGGCGAAGGGGGTGGGCGTCTTTCCTCTCTCCCTGCGCAGTCTGGCCTCTGCACGCCCATCTTGGTGGGACCCCCGATCCCCCCTGCCCCTGGCAAAAGAGGCCAGCTGGGATCCCTGAGAGGCACGTACGTGTCTGGCAGCGATCCGGGACGATCCAACCACGTTCCCTTCCGCATCCAGGACGTTGATCCCTTCCTCCAGTTCTAGGTGCCTCATCAGAACCACGTTGCAGATGTTGGCACTTGCTGGGGGGGGGGAAGAGAGGGAGAGAGAGGAAGAGCTGAAAAGCCATGCTGGAAGGAGGGGGGAGCCCTCTGCCCCACTGCTTTCGATCCCAGAGAAAAGGGTGGCGATAGCTGAATTTGAACTGTGGCTTTCTGATTCCTTCCCCCCCCCCCCGGCCTGGGTGAAATTGCTGGGTTGGGGGATGGCGTCATAGCTTGGGTAAGCCCCCCCTGCCAGCTCCATCTGAAAGCACTTCTTGCAGCCTCAAAGTCTCCGCTGGAGTCATTGCCCCCACCCCATGCCACCCTCTTCCCCCCCCCAGACCACCAGATGCCCACAGGTGCTCTGGCAGAGCTTTTCCTTCCAGAATTGCTGTCCACCCCCCCTCGGTGTCTCTCCTCCCCCAGAGTATCTCGGGCACCCCCAGAGTCCCCCCCAGACCAAGCTGAGGCTGTCCCCAAAGCAGCAGAGAGGAAGCAGCCTGGAGAAGCTGTGGGCACAGCCATGCCTGGGGGGGGGGGGCTGGCTCCATTCCTGCCCTCCTGCCCCGCAAGGTGAGTCTGGGAGGCCCCAGTCCGGAAGCCCCAAGGGCCTGGTCCTCGAGATCAGGGTAAACAGAGGCCGGGCCGCCTTCAGTGACCCTTGCAAATCCCAGGGTGGGGGTCTCCGGGATACAGCAGCCCCGTGTGAATCAGGGGAATGTCTTACCCTGCTATACCTCCTGCCCAGCCCAGGGGATATCCGCCCCTCCCAAGCCTGGACACCCTCCAGCCTGGCTGAAGCCTGGCTCCAGAGCCCCCCAGGACCCCAGCAGCAGCAGCCTCTGGGAGAGGGCGGGGGGGGGGGGTGTCTCACCTACGGCAGGGAATGGCACGAATCTCTGGATCAGGAGCCGGGTGGCTGGCGTAAACTGGTTGGCTCTCTGGATGAGAACGTTAAGGCCCACCTGCAGGGGAAGCACACCGAGGGAGGTCAAGGGGTCACGTGCTGGGCGCCCAAGGGAGGGATTCTTCCTGCTTCTCCCCCCCCCCAAATTCCCTCTGCTAAATGCTCATCAACTAAAGACAGACCCTTCCTGGAAGTCTGAACATGGCAGGTCGCTGAAGCCCCCGCAAGCCATGAAGAGCAAAAGGCTCCTGTGAGATTCAGCCCTGCAGTACCGCACCATGTTTAAAGGGGCAACCACAACGTACCTAAGTAGGGTCCACGTGGCCTTTGCTCTTCACAAAGGGGCCCACTTGGCCCATCAGAGTATGTGGGGCAGAAGTCAGGCAAACGGAGACCTTTAATTCTACCCACCCCCGCAAGCTCAGAGGCAGGAAAGCAGGCAAGAGGACCCGAAGCCCATCATCCACTCCCTTTCCCAAGGAGGAGGTTGATGGCTTCAGCCAGAGAGCTGCAGAACCGGGACGGAAGCTGCTGCTCCTTGCTGCCTGACCGGCCTCAAGGCTGTGTGCGGTTCCCTCGCGGTGTTAAGTGGTCAGCAGAGCCAGGCCGGCGGGGGTCCCCTGCTCCACGGCAGATGCCGGTGGGGGATTCGCAGACTATCAACGCATCTGCAGCAGCTCCTGACAGACAATTATCAAGGTGGGCCGAAGCAGGGAGGACGCCGCAGGGCGCCGTCACCAGTGAAGTGGTGTTGCTGAGAGGCGGGGTGGGGCAAGGGGGGCGGGGGAAGGAGGGGAAAGGAGAGCCGAGCAGGGGGGGCTGGGTCAAGCAGCCGCCTTCCTGGCGCAGAAGAGGGGCGAGGGTGGGCAGAGCCCCGGGGGCTCCTTGGCATGGGCATCTCTGAGGTCAGCCGACTGCCGAGGGCTGAGGAATTCTGGAGTTTTGTCCGGGAGTCCTCAAGTCGCCATTGTTGAACCGTTGTACGTCAGGGACTCCCCATGTTCAGATCTGTCCTTGCAGTCCCTGTATGTCTGTTGACCTTTGCTCTCCCCTCACGAGGGGCAGACTCCCCCCATTCCTCCCTCCTCCAAGACCGGGCCTGCTCATTGGCTGAAACTATGGAACAGGGAGGGACTCTCTTGGGCCCGCCTCCACCTCTGTGGGGCAACCCCCGGGGTCTCCCCGAAGACCCTGCCTTCCTCCCTACAGATGCTGGGTGCACAAACTGCCTCCTGTGGGGAGCCCTGTGGGGACCCTCACTCCACAGGCTGTGGGGGGGGGGGAATCTTCTTGCAGCCAGGGAGCTGCCCCCCCCCCGAGCCTAAGTAAGCGAGGGTCTTCTGGCTCCCCCTCCCCTGCCCAAGAGAAAAAGCCTTAAAGGGCCACTCACCGCGATGGAGACGGCACTGACCACAGCCCCCAGGTAGCCCTGGATGAACTTGAAGGTCGGCGACGGCTGGGAAGGAGGAGGAAGAGGAGGCAGCGCCTGAGTTCACAAGCAGGAAACGAGGGGGGGGGACAAAAGAAGGCCTGAATGGAAATGGGGGGGCGCTCCTGGGGTGTGCAGGGCCTCCAAAAGTACGTGGGAGATGCTTGGGCCCCACAGGGTGGCTCAGGGGCAGAGAAGGGGCAAGTGAGCCCCGCCCCAGCCCTTTGTTTGCAGCCCCCGAGACCCCCCCTCAATACAGCCCCTTCATGTCCCCCTTAAAGCCCAGCTGTCAATGTTGCTAACATCGGATGTTCTTGCTTTGACAACAGATGGAAATGCAGCCATTTTCTCGATTGCTTTTAGAATTAGTCGATGCTGGGAGGGGGGATGTGGATGAGAGTCTAGCTAGTCCCAACAATAATAACTCAGCTGTGGGAACCCAAGGTCATTGGGCCCAGAGCTGATAGAGCAGTGTTTCTCAACCTTGACAATTTTAAGGCATGTGGACTTCAACTCCCAGAATTCCACAGCCAGCAATGCTGGCTGTGGAATTCTGGGAGTTGAAGTCCACATGCCTTAAAATTGTCAAGGTTGAGAAGCACTGTGATAGAGTTTTGGTGGGCTGGAGGGCTGGGGAGAAAGCCCCTGCTTCAAGCTAATTGGGGAATGTGATTTATGACTGTTTATTGGAGGAGGGAATTGCACTTTGCTACTTTGTGTATGTGGGGGGGGGGAATTCAGTTTTTGGCTTTAACTATGTAGTGCCGATTCTCAAATAAAAGATTCTTTAAGGTAAACAATGCCTTGAAGTTCCTTTGAAGAGTTCCATCTGTCGGAACCATGACAGACCAGCACAGAAACTGGGGCTTTTTTTCTGCTGGTGCTGTGCAAGAGCTCGGAAGGAGCTGTGGGCCTTGTCCCTCAATTCCCCCAAGAATGAAAGCAGCCCACCCCAAAAAGATTGGGGGGGGCTCTGAACACCTGGAAAGCCAAGCCAGCTGGCGAAGCCCAACTGGCCTGGGAGGCTGAGGGCCCAGCGACAGGGCTGTCTCGAGCGCTCTGGGGCCGGAGGGCTGAGTGGGGCAGGGGTGGCTGGCTGCTTCCACAAGCCTAGGGTTGGGCTCCAGAACCGGCTCCAAGAGCCGGTTGGTGGGCCTCTTAGAGGAGGAGCGGGGTGGTCCCTTCTGGGCAGCGCAGCTGGCAATGGGGCAGGAGGCCCTGACCTTCCTGAGGGACAGGCAGATGCTGTGCCCAGCCCCAAAGGACGGCAGAGGGGCCTGGCGGGACCTGGCCTCTGGACCTTGGGCCAGGGGGTGATGGGCTGACCAGTCCCAGACCCCGGAGCTCTCCCCGCACCCCAGGAGGATGGTCTGGGCTGAGGGAATCAAGCTGGAGACGCCCCCCCCCGGGCGCTTATGTACAGCCCCCCTCACCTTGGTAGCGTTCCGGTTTGCATAGTTGACACAGGCATTGTGGCTCTGATTCAACCACTAAAAAGAGAAAAGAAACGGGCAACGCTGGTTAAAGGCCGCGGGGAAGAGGGTGGACACAGGCAAGAGACGGCCGGGCTGGGGGCAGAACCGCCAGAGAGAAAAGAGCCGGATGAGGGGGTGAAGCAGCCCTCCCAGGGGAGCCTCTGGTTGGCGTGGAAAGCCTTCAGTTGTCCAGTCTAGGCGATGCGGCTCTGTGTATCTGCGACAGAAGAGCACCCCCCCCTCCGAGGCACCAGTGCCCAAGGGCTCACCTCTCTCTCCCTGGCCATTCACTTGCACGCATGCACGCACACACCCACGCCCAACTCCCTGGCCTGCCTGCTTTTCCAGGTCAAATCGGGTCCCGGCTGGCAGATGCTGCCAGGAAAAGAAAAGAACCCCTGACGGGGACTGGGGAGTCCAGGTACCCCTCCCCCCACCTGACTGGCTAGGCCAGGGAAAAGGGGCAGACAGGTGTTTGCCCAAGCCAGTTGTGGGGGGAGGGCCCCCAGGCGAGCAGCCTGCTCGCTCTGGCCCTGCAGATGCCCTCATTCCCAGGGCTGCCAAGGGAGGGGCCCTGAAGAGAGAGACCCCAGAGCTTTGGGCTCGGATTCTGAGCTTGGAGGGTCGGCTACGCCCCCTTCAAAGGAGGCGAGGAGGCAGCAAATTCTGGGGCGGACCCTCTCCCCTCTCCCAGGTGGCACCTGCTGCCCGGCCCCCTGGGTGCTGCAATCGCCCCCACTCCCTGCAGAGAGCAGCTGGAGAGCAGGGCGGGGGGCAGGGAGGGGAGCATTCTGCCACTGACCTAGGACTGGGACCGCCCCCCCAAAACCTGTTCCGAGGAGGTCGATCCGGGGGGGGGGCTCCCCCAGGCCTACCTGGACAAGAGACCTGCCGAGGCCTATTCCTGCAAAGGGGATACTCTATCACTACTGGGGGGGGGGAGCACGCCAGCCCCCAGGGGCTGCCCAGGGCCGGCTCCCCCTTGGCTCATGTTGTCTGCCAAGGGGGAGACAATTCAGTGGCCTCCTCCAGGCCTCCCCTCCTCTGGGGCACAGGACCACCATCCCTCCCTCCGTGATGGCCTTGGAAGGAGAATGGCGCCCTGCTTGCTGCCTTCCTCCTGCAGCCCTTCCCAGGGTATGGCGGCTCCAGCTGTGGCAGGACAGCCCCCCCCCCAGATGGGGGCAGTGCACGTGTGTGTTGCGTGTCCCCGAGCAGCCTGGCACTATGAGCTGAGCTGCCCTGGGTGCTTACCTCCCGGCCCTGCCTGCCCTTCTACTAAGGCGGCTCTGCAGGGGCTGCTCTGTCCCTCTCCAGCTGCTGGGAAAGGAGGCCAAGCTGAGAGCAGGGAAGAGAAGAGAGAGAGAAGGAGGGAAGGAGTCAGAGAAGCAGGGAGGGAGGGAGGGAGGGAAGGGGCGGGAAAGGCGAGGGGGGAGGAAGGAAAGGGGCTAGAAAGGCAGGGCAGCCTGTGCCAGGCAGGAGAAGGTCTGGGGGGGGAGTGGGGAGGCAAAGCCCCCCCCCCCTCTCCTGGGTAAAACAGTTTTCCAGACCTCTTGCAGAAAGCGGCAAGTGAGAGGAGGATTTATCCTGAGTTAGCCACTTTTACCTCGGCCTGAATGCCAGACACCCTCACCTGCCACCTGGAAAGAAACCTCTTTCACAATACAAGCACAAACACACACACACACACACACACACACACACACACACACACACACACACACAAATTCAGGTCTGGCTTTGCACAGGTTCTTCTGCCCTTCCAAGCTGCTGAGAACGCAAAACTGGCCGTTTTCTCGGTTTCTTTTTCTGCGGGTCCGGCGGGCTCACCAGACACGGCCACACGTTTCGGACACATCCTCACAAGCACAAATGAGGGGAACAGCTTGCTTTTCAGGAGGATGACAAACATTCTTAATTGGTCTAGCCCTGTCGGGGGTTTGAACACAGACCATCTTCGGTCTGTGTGTCTCAGCCGGAAGAGCCATGGGACCCTTTCAGCTGGCAATTGGGGGGGGGTCCCTCAGTTTGGTCCAGGACTTCCCCCGTCCCGTCCCCATAGCTGGAGGACTGGGGAGCATCCACAGCAGCCCCTGGACCCTTGCCCAGGAAGGCCTGGTGTGCTGTAGCTAAGGGGAGGGGGAAACCCTGCAGAACGGATGAGGATCCAGAGGGCCAGGGAGGGAAGACAATGGATATAGGATGGAGGGAGGGAGGGATAGATAAGGAGGGGAGGGGAGGGCTCACCCAGGGATGGGCCCAGAAGGGCAGCAACCATTTATGAGCGATGACAGCTGCCCCAGGTCCCTTTGCAGAATGAGAGGGGTGGCACAGAAGATGAACGAACGGAAGAACGAACGGATGAATGAGCAAACAAACAGCCTGAGCAGGAGACCACTGCTTGAAACACACAGGTGGCAGAGGCTCCTCCTCCAGGCAACGATGGGCACACAGTCCTTACCTGCCAGAAGATGGTGGAGGCCAGAGTCTGGTTTGGCAGCAGGAGACCCACAACCTGTGGGGGGAAAGGGGAGGTTTCAGAAAGAGGAAGGCGCAAATGCCAGGCAGGCCAAGCCTCTCCAGAGGGCCCCAAAGGTTCCCTGGGCATAAAACGGAGGTGGGCGAGCACCGGCCGGGGGGGGGGGGGAAGCCTCCGCCCTGGGCACGCCTGCCACCTGCAGAAAGGGAGGGCCTGTTTCAGCACCCATCCAGCCTGGCTGATGCTGAGGATCCCCAGGCACAGCCCCTCCCCGGACCCTGACTTTGGCCCACATAAAGCGGCCAAACCAGTGCCCCACTCTGCTGGCCACTGCTTCCCAGACTTTTGGGGAGAGGATGCAAAGGGCTGCCTGCATGGGGGAGGCTGCCTGCGTGGTCAAGGCCGGCAGGGATGAGGGACTTCACCCTGCAAGCCTGCGTCTATCTGCAGAGCACACAGGGGGCCCTCGACTTATAAACCATTCATTTAGCAACCCTTCAGCTACAGTTGCTCTGAAAATTATTCACCAGGGGTCCTCGGACTTACAACCGTTGCAGCGTCCCCTTGATCACGTGATCAAAATTTGGGCACTCGGCATCCAGCACGTATTTACCAGGGTCGCGGTGCCCTATCTATGGTCACCCAATGGCCGCCTGGGGCTTGATCCGCCGGCTTCTGGCCAGCCAAGCCAAGGGGGGGGAGGGGGGAAGCCAAGTTCATTTAGCAATTTTGAAATTCGCCTCACATACTTAAGAACCATGGGAAAAAAAGGTCATCAAACTGCCTTGCTTAACACGGAAAATCTGGTCCCGACTGCGGTCGTAAGCCGAGGGAGATCTGTGCTCTAGATCGTTTTCCTTGAGTGGCGGGTGGATCCTGGGGGGGGGGGGTGGAGGCGGGGAATGGCTGCAAATGAGTGAGAGGGAGCTGCGCACCCGCCTGCAATGGGGGGGGGAGGCGCGGGCGAGGGGCTGCCTGCCCGTCTGCCTGCAAGAGGCACGTGGAGCGCAATTCCTCCATCTGGGCCGGAATCTGCCAAGAACCTACGGCTTCCTTTCCCGTTCCTGGCGGAGAGGAAGACAATAAACGAAACCCCAGAAGCGGATTCACTGCGGATCTGCGCCCACAAAGAGACGGAGAAAGTGTCCTTGGGAAAGGCAGCCGTTCAAAGCCCCCCCATCCCACAGCCCCATTCATGGCTCCCACCGGAGACAAAGACTCAGTTCCTGGTGAGGAAAACGGCACACATTGATTGCTTGGCTTCAGATGGCCTCCTGGCCTCTGGATGAGGCAGGCAGAAATTCAACCAGTGTGGCTTTCGGCAATGCAGACACATTGTGTGGGCCATACATAAGTGGGACCCAGGCCTGAATGGACCAGCATTCCCATCCTGCTTTGGCAAATGCCTTGGCCAGCAATGATGGGAGGTGCCAGGTGGGCATGGCGGGTCGGGCTCTAAAGCACCCAGGACGCTGCAGTTCTGGAGCAGCCAGGCCCGTCTGCTGGGGCTGCCCTTGTAGGCCAGAACCCAGGTGGCTTCTGAGGCGGCGGGGGTCAGCTGATTCCAGAAGACTGGATCGTCTTAGCTTCAACTGCTAAGAAAGGGGAGGAGGAAGAGGAGGAGAGGAAGAAGGAAGGAGAGGAAGAGGAGGAAGAAAACACGGACAGGAAGGGAAGAGAAGGGAAGGGAAGGGAAGGGAAGGGAAGGGAAGGAAAGGAAGGAAGGAAGGAAGGAAGAAAGAAAAGAAGATAGAGGGCTCCCAGCCTCCACCCACTCTCAAAACACCCCCTCCTTCCTTCCCAGTATGCTCAGTTGAAGACTCAGACGGGGATTAAGAGAGCTGCCAATTATGTCACTACATTTCACAGATCAATTGGCATAAATGTTAAAATTAAAATGTAACATTTGAAAATCTTTTTTTTTTTTTTTTTTGCTTTATGACAAGGGGTTCCAGTTTATCATTTACAGCTTGCGAACGGAGCGCCGCTGACAGCTCTCAGCTCTTCTGACAGGTCTGGATTTGGGCCGATTCTGGTGTCAACCTGATCGCTAACTCAAATTTGTGTTTAACTTTTTGCAAAGTTAATTACAGATTACCACCCAAATGTTAAACATAAATAAGGACACCTTTCCCCTCTTTGCGCTGGGAACCCTGCCATGCCTTCCTTCAAGAGATCATTACTGCGAGGCCCATATGTCTCCGGCAATGTGGCCAGAACGCTCCCCGAAGAGCTGGAGGGAAAGGCAGCCCCCCTGGGGGAAGATGGCGGTGATGGCGGCAACGGGGGCCTATGCTTCCCCCGGAAGGAGGTGAGGCGAGGAGCTGGAGCCGCTGCAGACCCGGACACGCACAGGACTGCCCCAAGCAGACATCTCCCCACCGGCTTCGCCTACTCCCTTAAAAAGTCCCGGAGCCCCAGAAAATGGCAGCCAAGCATGATTCCACCTCTCTGACTGCAGGTCTCCTCTTGCGTCCCTGTCCCCGAGGCTGCCTCCACTCGCTGAGCCGGCCTTCCCGTTTCCTGGTCCTTCACCCCCCCCCCCCCGCCAGCAGCAGCCATGCCGGGCGGAGGCCGAGGGCAGCCCGCCCACTTCAGCCGGGCGCCAGGGTCCCAGAGAGGAAAAGGGTCTTTGAGGCCGATGCTTCACAAGCAGCCTAGTAAGGCAGCAGCAAGCAGTCAGGTGCCTCCCGGGGGCTTCTTGGCGCCTAAGGACCCCGTCAGGAACATCCCGACTGAGCCAGAGAACCGGGAGTCAAAGCTAAAAAGGGCATTTCTTGCTATGCAGAACAAAGGTGCGAGGCTTTCACACTTACAATAGGCGTGCCAAAAGGAATGTAACCTAAGGGAAAAAAAGAAAGGCATTGTTTGAGACCCAGATGCTCTGGATGTGGGTTGCAAGAACTCAGGTGAACACTGGAGGGCAGCACAGAGAAGTCCGCCTCTGCCATCTAGTGGCCAGCCAGAGTTTTGCAGCCCAGATTCTCAAATGGGTGTAAACCAGGGGTAGGCAAGCTTGGCTCTTTTATGACTCATGGACTTCAACTCCCAGAATGCTGGCTCAGGAATTCTGGGAGTTGAAGTCCACGAGTCATAAAAGAGCCAAGCTTGCCTACCCCTGGTGTAAACCAGGACTTGCAGAAGGTCCATGAGGAATCCTGGGAGGTGTAGCCTGAATGCACCTAGAACCTGTTGGGTCAGGGACGGATGGCCAATATAACTATTTCCTTAGTGAACCTAGGTGGCCTTTCCTTTCTCCCACCAGACAAGCAACAGAATAACAGGGTTTCACTTCGGTGCACACAAGGGCAGAGTGTGAACTTATAGGCACGGGACACCTGAGTTGAGGAAGGTCACGTGGGCTCATTAACCTGCTCTCAATCGAGGTCACCCAGGGGGATGAGAATCCAGGGTTGGGTGCGACTCCTGTGGCCACTCAGGGCAGGAGGCCAATTTCATGGCTCTCTCTGGTGGAATATCTGGGACCCCTCAAGCCTTAGGGCAGAGGTCCCCAATCTTTTGAGCACCAGGGACCGGTTCCGTAGAGAGGGGGTTTCCCGTGGACCGGAGGGAGCGTGGTTTCATGTACTGCCTGCATCCCAAGGATGCGGCTTTGCTTGTTTGCGTGGCCTGGCTTCTGGCATGCCGTGGACTGGTGCTGGTCCACGGACCGGGGGTTGGGGACCCCTGCCTTAGGGTGACTGATCTCATCATCCTCTCCCTCTTTTAACTATCTGATGGTTTACAATGGGATGGAGGCAAGGGAGGTGAAGGGGCCCTCGGCTACTGGGATCAGACTGGGCTTGCTACGGTCCTTCCCACCGAAACCGAGGGAGAATTTCTCCCGCTGAGCTGGAGACGGGTCATGGAGTAGCTGAAGGAGGCACTGACCGCACACAGAAGCACCAAGGTTTGGAGAAGGAAAGCACCCCGAAGCCCAGCAAATCTCCACAGGGCCATACCTGACATTCGGAAAGGCATGAAAATGGTCTGGTTCGTGTCCGGGTGGATGATGGCCTAGAAAAGCAGGAGACGCAGTGAAATTGGAGGCCGCTACCCCAGAATCTGCCACCCTCCCAAGTAGGCCAGGCAGGAAACCCCCCCCCCCAGGTGAGCTAATTCTTTTTTATTATAAGGCTACAGTCACCAGGTCTCCTTGCAAATGTGAAGGTACAAACCTTCCACTGTCACTTTTACGGACTGATTAAACTTGGGCAGATCCTTTCTAAGTTTCTCCATCTCTTCTTCCTCAGTTGCATCTCCTTCCCCTCTTACCAGACCATTCCCGGGACAGCACCTCCCCACCCTTTCTGAGCTCCTTCCCATAGTCCATTACAAAAGTCTGTTTCTTGGTGTGTGTGTGTATGTGCGGGGGAGATCAAAATCACACCCACCCATCAGCCATCCAGGCCGAAGTCAAGCTATTTGGGGAGGTGGAAGAAAAGAACTCCAAACTCCAGAGACTGGACAGCCATTTGTCCGAAATGGTGTAGGGTTTCCTGCCCGAGCAGGGGGTTGGACTAGATGACCTCCAAGGTCCCTTCCAACTTTACTACTATTATTATTATTATCTTTTCCCAACCCAGGCTCTGGAAGGGCTGTTTCCCCCCCCCCCAAGTCCTTGCACTTTGAAGAAGCAGATGGGAAATGGAAGACCAGGAATCCCTGGGGGAAAAGACTCTCTCCCACGGTGTCCAGGATGGCTACTCGGGGACCCCCATGGTCACAAGGGCGCCCCGCCTTCTCTGTCAGGGCCAAGGGCAGCCCCAGTAGAAGCATTCTCCATTCCCCAGGAGGGAGCAGGTTACCTGTTTTATTTTCTGTGCTCTCCAAAGCTGGAAAAGAAAAAGACAGGATTAAAGTCGCTGGTCCAAACACGCAGGCCGAAACTGACAAGGGAGACCCTTACCCAAAAGGCAGCCTCGAGTGGGGGATGGCAAGGAGGCGAGCAGGAGGTCAGATACATTCTTCCGGGGTCAGCTCTGGGGGGACACCCACCTCATCCCTTAATACACTGCAGGGAAGGGGGGGATGACTAACCCTGTCCTACAACGGGACCCGGAGAGATGTGTACTGCTGGTCAGGTGGGGCCGTGGCAACTTTGCCCCCTCTTGGGGCAAGGAAGGGTCTCTTCCTCCCAATAGGCCAGGGGTAGGCAACCTTGGCTCTTTTATGACTCGTGGACTTCAACTCCCAGAATTCCTGAGCCAGCTATGCTGAGGAGAAAGGGAGAGGTTTCCAAGCTGAGCCATGCTGGCTCAGGAATTCTGGGAGTTGAAGTCCATGAGTCATAAACGAGCCAAGGTTGCCTACCCCTGGCCTAGGCCAGTCATGTCAGAATCCCAGGCCGAAGGGTCCTTAGGAAAAGAGCTGGCTAGGCGTCTCCAGCCCAGCCCTAGAAGGGACACGGGGTTCAAGGAGACGGTTTTTGACGTCCCTCTTGGGTTCGACCCTGTCAGCAGCCGAGGGCCTTTATGCAGCCCATTAAAAGTGTTTCCAAAATCAGAGACGCCTCAGGGGCTCCTGCTGGACATCTGGGCACTTCTGTGGCCGAGACGTGAAGGCATCACAGTCGGCATCTTGAGAAGACCGTTTCTCGTGTCTCTATTTGCCACACAGAAATGTTTGGGGTGCCCTAGCCAAGAAAATAATCGAATAAAAGAAGGAAAAGGGTGTCATACAAGAAGGGCTTCCGTATGAGACTCTCACCAACGACCCAAGGATCCAAACTGAAATAGGTCTTTCGTGGTTCAGGGTCCGATCAGTGAACAAGGGAATATGCACTGCTTTCAGCTTCCTGTAAGCTCTTCTCTTATGGTTTCCACACACAAACCTCTGGTTTTTTGGGAATTGTTTTTGACCACATCCACAAAATTTAATGGAACTGCAATTCAATATTCAGCTGGCTGACAAGCACTGCCCCCCCACTCGGTGCCTTCTTCCCAATGCGCTCGGCCAATTCATCGTCCCAGCCAGTAAGGCACATCTGGAGTCACCAGGGTGTCCGAGGCTTAGCAGGCCACTTGCTTGCCCATCCTTCATCCTCCGGGCAAGAGATGGCTAATGGGAGGGACCCTCTGGATGACCCCCCTCCCCAGTCTCCTCTTTCCCATCAGCCTTTTCCTTCTCACAACAACCTCCGCTTCAGAGCAGACCCCGCTGTTTTCAGCTTGGTCGGCTCTCAAACAGCTTGGTCGGCTCTCCGTGTCTTAGATGGCGCTTAAATTGGCCTCCAAAACACTTTTTAGCACCCGAGCAGTCATAGACGCTCCCCCTGACTGGACGTGTGTGGCTGACTCAACAGACATCAGGGCTGGAATAGCTGGGGTGGGAAAACCGGCAGAGGTGCCTGGCTGCCCTCCAGCTGTGCAAATCAGAGGCTCAATCTTCTCCTGATCACACCCGGCCGGGCCAGAGTGGAGGGGTTTTACACAGAGGTAAAACAGCAAAAGCAACGGCAGAGCAATTCTGTAAGTGACGAGGTAATAAAAACTCCGAGCACTTAACTAACACTTTACCTCTGCTAATTAATTAGTCCTGACAACATCCTCAAAGGAAGTTAGGATGGGAAGCTGGGAAGGATTCAACCGCTGCCTGGTCACTAAATGGAGCAGATCCCAAAGGCTCTCCCAGGGGGGCCCTCTCACACAATTGTGTGGACTGCAGGGGGCACGGGCAGGTGAGAAAAGGCTCTTTTCTAATGTTAATTACAACTGGAAAGAAAAGGGAGGGGGTGGGGGGGAAAGGACTATCCTAGTTTGGTGGGGAAACAGCCACCGTGGAAGGCAGAAGAGCCCCCCCCCGCCCCTTAGGTTGATTCTCTCCCAAAAGATCTCTGATTCTGTTTGGAATCTTTTTGGTGGTTTTCATTGTCATCCAGTTTGCCTTCTTATCTTTTTTGGTCTCCTCTTCACATTTGCCCCTTACAGCCTCTTTTGTTTCCTTCCACTCTCTCTCTGAGATGGGGGGGGGGGTTCTTGAAGAGGGGAGACCTGTGCCAAGCCCGGAGCCACAGGAAGCTGGATGGCTGACCTGGAAGCTGCTCACAAACCGCTCATGGTCCAGGGGATCAACGCCCGAGGCCAGCCAGGGCTCTCAGCCCTGCAGCTTCAGGGCTGTTCCACAATCTGTCCAGGCCAGGTCCGGCCCTGGAGACCCCTGGCCTGAGGGCTGACCCTGGCCTCCCTAGGGACAGCTGGAAGCAGAGCTAAAGCATGGAGCCACCAGGGAGAGCTGGGATCTGGGCCGGGAGAAGCTCCTTTTTTCAGAATTCAGCTGCTTTAGACCGGATCACGGGCGTTGTAGGAAAAATCTTTATCAGGGTCCAGTCCAAGCTGGGAATAAACAACATGGCGGCTGCTTTGGAAAGAAGGTTGCAGTTTATTGAAGAGGAGAGCCAGACAGAAAGATGGCTTTGGAAGAAAAGAGAGTGAGCACATGTAGGGAGTGGGTTTTTATACCCTGTTGGGCTTTTGTTTGGAGTTGTTTCTTGTTCCTGTAAAAGTCTTTGTATTTCCTGTGTCATGTACTTGGACCTGACTCTGAGTGTGCCCTTTGGCATCTGTGGGTTAATCCCATTATGTCCTGTCTTAGAGTTTGGGTGGGGTATGTAGATTTTAGGTGTCTTTGTCTTCCTAAGCTTTCTAGCTGGAGGCCTCCAACCTTCCTGAATGGATTATTACATCTGCATTTCTACAGAGCTAGTTTCTGCTTGGGGGAGGGAGACTTGCGGCTATTAAGAAAAAACTGGGCATGCTTTTCTGCCTCTCTAAGATCCTTTGAGGAAATATAATATTCTGCCCTTTTAATATTTCCTTCTCTGGGGGGGGGGGGGGCTGACTTCCCACACAGGCATCTGTGAAAAGTGGCTAGTCCTCAGCTTTCAACCGGCCACTTAGCAAACACTCGAAGTTGCGTCCTGCCTGGAAAAAGGGAATGATGACCCTGTTCTGAAATTCGAAGGGTTGCCTCCCCCCCAAAGGCCATGGGGGGGCCTGGCCACACAGCTGCACTTATGGGTGTTTGCAGTGCGACTGTGTTTGATGATATTTCCGGAAAACTGTGACATAGCAAGCAATGGTTTGCTTAACGACCATGGTGCTCATTTTATGACCACCAGGTTCACTTAATGACATCACAAAAAAAGGTTCTCAAATCACGTTACATGGACAACCTCACTGATGACAATCACGACATATAACCGAAATGGGCTGGCTACATCGTGATTGTGTGCTAGGGGCTCCCTGTATGGACCCTTGCCTGGCCAAAGCATCAACTGCAGCTGGATACCACCCATTCATGAACACCAGTTACAGAATCCAAACCCTCAAACGCTTCAGCCAGGATCAATGAGGATCAAAGGAAAATGCTTGAAAAAAACCCGGCAGTTCCACCGGGCACATCTCTGCCCTTCTGGGGGATCTTTTGGGATCTGGCAAGGGAGGACCCCTCCCTCAAAGACACCGCCCTCCACAAACTCCCCACCCGGCCACTCTTGAGCAGAGACCTCGAGGGCCTTGGTGGCACCGTTGCAGGGCAGGAGGGCGCAGCTAGCACACACCTGGCCTCCACATCGGCCTCTGACTACCTAGGCCAGGGGTAGGCAACCTTGGCTCTTTTATGACTGGTGGACTTCAACTCCCAGAAATCCTGAGCCAGCCATGCTGAGGAGAAAGGGAGAGGTTTCCAAACTGAGCCATGCTGGCTGAGGAATTCTGGGAGTTGAAGTCCACCAGTCATAAAGGGATCATAGTTCCCTATACTGGCTGAGGAATTCTGGGAGTTGAAGTCCACGAGTCATAAAAGAGCCAAGGTTGTCTACCCCTGGGCTAGCCTCTGGCTGTCCCCAAACCAGGCCCACGTCTCTCCTTCAGGAGATGGCCGAGCTCCGTCCCCTCTGGTCACCTCTTTGTTGCTGGTCCCCGGGGGCAGTGAGCCCTGCTTGTAATCCTCCAGCAGCTGCATGGCTTCCTTGAGGCGACTCTGCAAAGAGACAACAAGCATCACACACATACACACCCCTTGAGGAAAGGAAGGCATCCTGAGAGGGCCAGGCCGGTGCCCACGCTGCCTGGCTTCCCATCGGAAGACGCCACTTGGCCTCCCACTTTTGGGCCATGCCCTCCGCCAGCTGGGGGGAGTGGGGGCAAGAGAGGGAGATGCTCTGGGAAGAGTGGAGAAATCTGGCAGATCCAGAGAAGGGCAGCACCCAATGGCCCTGGACAAATGACCAGGGAGTGCCCTTTTCCGTCTCGTAAGCTGGACTTTCCACCAAAGGGTCAGCCACCCAAACTGCAGCTCACATCCCCCGGTGCTGCTGCTCTCAATGGGGTAGCCCCAGAACAGCCCTGGAGGCGGAAGGAGAGGGGGGCATTCGAGGCCCAGAGAAGGAGAGCCAACGCCCCCCCCCCGCCTGCTGGTCTGAGCCTCTAGAGCCAGGCCGGTGAATGGTAGCCAGGCAGCCAAGGAAATGACCCATTTTCCTGTGAAAAGACAGCCGGGCTCTGCTTGGCATTCCGGGGAGACTCTCTCCCCTCATTAGCAGGTTTTGGGACACCCCGTCTCCGGGCCTCCTTTGCAGCCGCTCTCTGCGGTTCCCTCCGCTCTTCTGAATGGAGGCTCAGAAAAGGCATCAATGGACCGTCTTGTCTTCCGTTCTCTCCCAGTTACTATAACAACCTTGGCAGGGCTCAGCTGGCTGCACAGCACGAAGGCCCTGAGCAGCACAAAATGGCCCCCGGCTGGCCTAAAAGGCTCTGGGTGCCTCTGTCCCCTCTTTTTGGGGGGCTGAGAGAGAAGCAGCTTGCCCTGAGGGAAGAGACAGGAGTGCAAAGCTCCGAGAAAGGTGGGCCTGGAATGCCCCCCCCCCACCTTGCCCTAACCCACAGGTCGGCAACCTGCGGCTCCGGAGCCGCATGCGGCTCTTTGAGCCTTACCCTGTGGCTCCCAGCCTCCTCTGCCATTTACAGAGAGACAGAGACAGAGAGGGGCACTTGCGCTACCCTTCTCTCTATATCTGTCTCTCTCTGTGTTTGTGTTTGTGGTTTTGTGCGTGCGTGTGTGTGTGTGTAAAAGAGAGTAGACTCACGTTCTCCGACAAGGTGAAAAGCTTTTTGGGCGGGGCTCCTCCCTTTGCTGCGTCTCTGCAGGAAGCAGGAAGGGCAGGAGAGAGCTAGCTAGCCCAGCTATGCTGACTCAGGAATTCTGGGAGTTGAAGTCCATGAGTCATAAAAGAGCTGAGGTTGCCTACCCCCGAGCTTGTTGGAGAACAGCTTGAAGGCAGCTTGCCAGGTGAGCAGAAGATCGGAGAGAGGGAGGGGGGGAGAGAAAGAGAGAGAGAGTGGGGGAAGACGACTGGCAGACCAAGAGCAGAAAGAGAGAGAGGGAGGGAGGGAGGGAGACAGAGAGAGACCTTTTTGACATCTAAAATGAAGATAACACTGCATACAGTATATCCTGTTTTACCTTTATGAGATATATGTATATGTATGCATGCATGCATGTATGTATATTTTAAAGGTAAAAAATGATATATGCAGTGTTATCTTCATTTTAGATAGCAAAAGGGTTTTGGGGCTCCCAGTGTTTTGTTTTCGGTGGGAAATGGGTCCAAGTGGCTCTTTGAGTGTTTTGGGTTGCCTACCCCTGCCCTAACCCTTCACGCCACTGCCTCGGCCCACTTCCTTCACAGTGGCTGCTCCCGGGGTGGCGGGCACCCCACACTGCTGCCCCATCTCTGCCACCTTTCACAGGCAGTGCTCTGCTTACCACCAGTCACTTAGTGATTGCCTGATGTTGCAACAGACCCCCCCCCCAGGTACTTAGCATCTGACTGCTGCCCCCATCCCCACCATCCTGGGATCGCATTTGGGGGGCTCGGGAACTGGCCGGCATTTGCACCTGCTCACCGTGTCCCACAGTCCCAGGGATGCTTTTACCCAAAACAGCATTTGCACCTGGGTCCTGGCACAAGCAGCCCCTCGCGAAGAAGTGTCTGCGGCTGCCATGAAAATATTGTGAATCGGGTCAGTCGGATGGTGACCCACTTTACAACCACCACAGCTTATTGACCGTTGTGGCCAGGCTCCATTACAGTTGTAAGTCAAGGACCACCTACGCACAATAACAGCCCCCCAAAGACAGAAGCCCCCGCAGGCTGGAACCAGCTTGGCCATCAGAGAGGAAAGAGGCCTTTCAGTACAGCCCCTTTGGCCCCTTCCTTCTGTGGGGGAGGGGGAGAAAGGCAGGATGCCCCCCTTCTCCCTCCCCCCCCCCGCCTGCCAATCCCCCTCCAACTCCCCAATCCCCTGCTGTGCGTTAGCAGGAAATGTCGCATGGACTAAATTAGCTTCACAAAAAATCTGCTGAACTCTTCAGATAGTCCCACACAGTTTCATTACAAGCAATTAAGAGCCTAATTTTAAGCAACGAAGTCTCACACCTGCCAGGAAGAAGGCAGATCCTCTCAGCACACACACACAGACACACACACACACACAGCTCAGCTCCATAAGGGGGTCTTGAAAGAGTTTGGCACATGGAGCCTTACTCGGCAAATGGCGGATCTCTGGGGATCAGGGCCAAAGCCTAAGAGGCAGGGGGCTCACCAGCTTACCCAGGATATATGTTTGTTTATCCTGACTTTTTGTGGCTGTTGTTTAGCAACACTACATGCCATTCTTTTGGCAGGATTCAAATTTAACGTCCACAATGAAAGAAATTGTTAACATGCTGTAAGTTGTAAGAGGGCTAAGGGTCTACTACGGTCTGGATGCTGAGAAAGGGAGGCTTTGCAAGCTTTGCACAAAAGAGGAGCCCAGCGCAGGAACCAAATAGTCCAGCTGGAAGGAGCGGCCACTCTTCCCTCACACATCTGTCCAGCAGCCTCCCATGGCCCCGAGGTCACCAGAGTCTTTGCCAGGAGAGCCACCAGTACCAGAGCCGGCTTTAGTGGCACTTCCACACTCCCCGCCCCAAATGAAAAATGTTAATTCAGGAAAAAAATCACTGGCATTTTCTCCTTCACGGATTAATCACTCTAGAACAGGGGTCCTCAACCTTGGCAACTTTACGACTTGTGGACTTCAACTCGCTGAGGAATTCTGGGAGTTGAAGTCCACAAGTCTTAAAGTTGTCAAGGTTGAGGACCCCTGCTCTAGAACAGTGGTTCTCAACCTGTGGGTCAGGACCCCATTTGGGGTCGAACGACCATTTCACGGGGGTCGCCAAACCATGCTGTCCGCCATTTTTCCCCCTTTTCCCTAGCTGTCCTACTCCCTCTTATTGGTGGCCACGCCCACTTGGGGGTCACCACAACATGGGGAACTCTATTATGGGGTCATGGCATTAGAAAGGTTGAGAACCACTGCTCTAGAAGGACTAGGAGAAGGTCAGTGTTTGGGCTCCGTGGACGCTCATCACTTAGTCGTTGGTGCCTGCAGGTGGGTCCCCACAAAGGAGGAATGTATGGGGGAGGGGGAAATGACGTGCACACTTGGTATCGCATCCAGTGCGTAAGTGCGGCTTCCGATCAAGAGGGGTCCCTTGCAAAACCTGGGGTCTTCCTGTCTGCACAAGGAAGGTATAGGTCAGGGGTAGGCAACCTTGGCTCTTTTATGACTGGTGGACTTCAACTCCCAGAATTCCTGAGCCAGCCATGCTGAGGGGAAAGGGAGAGGTTTCCAAGCTGAGCCAGGCTGGCTCAGGAATTCTGGGAGTTGAAGTCCACAAGTCATGAAGGGGCCAAAGTTTTTCCCATACTGGCTGAGGAATTCTGGGAGTTGAAGTCCACGAGTCATAAAGCGGCCTAGGCCTAGGCCAGGGGTAGGCAACCTCAGCTCTTTTATGACGCGTGGACTTCAACTCCCAGAAGTCCACGAGTCATACAAAGCCAAGGTTGCTACCCCTGGATAGGCGGGTCTCCTGCTTGAGCAGGGGGTTGGACTAGAAGGCCTCCAAGGCCCCTTCCAGCCCTATTCTGATTGACTGATGAAGGTCAGGACCTCCCCCCCTTTGCTTGGGAAGAGGGCAGAGGCACAATCCGCTCAGGCAGAGCAACTGCTCTTCCCTTCTTGAAAAAGACTTTTTTATCCTGCCTTTTATTATTTTTATCAATAACTCAGTGCAGCAAACATAACACAGGTAGGCCTTGATTTACAACAGTCCATTTAGTGACCGTCTGAAGTTACAACGGCACTGGAAAAAGTGACTTAGGACCGTTTTTCACCCTTACAACCGTTGCAGCGTCCTCGTGGTCACGTGATGCAAAATTCAAACTCTTGGCAACTGACTCATACTTATGACGGTCGCAGTGTCCCGGGGTCCCTTGATTCCCCTTTTGCGACCTCCTGACAAGGAAAGTCAATGGGGAAGCTGGATTCTCTTAACAACCGGGTGTCTGAACAACTGCAGTGATTCCCATAACAATTGTGGCAAGAAAGGTCGTAAAATGAGGCAAAACTCACGTAACAAGTGTCTCATTTAGCAACAAAAAGTTTGGACTGAATTGTGGTTGTAAGTTGAGGATGACACATAGTCGCTCTTTCCCAACACTTCAAAGCAAGGTGTTTTTTGTGCTGGGGGGGGGGACGGCTGTTCACAGTGCACCCCTTTTTCTGCTCTCACCCTCCGAAATTCAAAAATTAATACTTCAGTGGAGAAACCCGAAAGAACTAGTAAAACTACAGCTAAAGGTTTTCTCTTTGCAGAAATCTAAAAACAAACCCTGTTCAGTGGGTGCCTCCTTTATTCCCTTTGTTTTTACTGCTATAACCAATTATTTCTGTCTCCCAACAAGCTGGCGTAATTCTGTTACCTTTCCACTATACTAAACAGGATGACAAGTGTGATCCTGCCAACTATCTGCCAATTTGTCTTTTATCTATAATTAGTAAATTGCGTGCTAGATTTCTATGTTATAAATTATTGGATTGGGTGCAACTGGAGGGGATGTGCCTTCTGAACTCTCCAGAGCTGTGTTTTTCAACCTTGCGGGTTTTAAGTTGTGTGGACTTCAACTCACAGAATTTCCTCAGCCAGCATTGCCTGTTGCTCTGCCTTCAGGTGCATTGGAGAACTGGTTGACCCCTTCTTCAATTTAAATTTAAATAACAGAATTGGACCTTGGAGGTCTTCTTGTCCAACCCCTTGCTCAAGCAGGAGACCCTGGATAAATAGCTGGTCTCTTCTTGAAAATCTCCAGGGATGGAGCACCCACAACTTCTGGTGGCAAGCTGTTCCTCTGATTAATTGTTCTCACTGTTGGGAAATTTCTCCCTAGTTCTAGGCTGGTTTTCTCCTCCATTAGTTTTAACCCTGTTCTGCCTTCAGGTGCTTTGGAGAATAGGTCGCAACCCCTTCTTCAATTTAAATTTAAAGTCCACTTAAATGTCCCTGTTAGAATTGGGTAATGGAATCGTGTGTCATTACCTAAGTAAACAAAAACAATTTGGGGTAAGTTTGGAAAGGTTTGGGAAGTGTTGCCCTATGGGCTACCTTGAAATCAATGGCACTAAAACTGAGTTTTCAGTATTCTCAAGAAAGTGTCCCAGAGGTCCAGCCAGTTCTAAGAACGGTGGGAGATGTATTGATCCAATCATTTAGGTGCTTAAGGGCCCACGTTTAACTTTCTACCTGCTGGACCAGGGGTCTTCAAACTTGGCCCTTTTATGACTTGTGGACTTCAACTCCCAGAATTCCTCAGCCAGCATCACGATGCTGGCTGAGGAATTCTGGGAGTTGAAGTCCACAAGTGATCAAAGGGCCAAGTTTGAAGACCCCTGGTCCAGAGCAAATGGCAGCTCCCAAACTCTGTCTTTCTAGTCTTTCCTCGTGTGCATAACTCTGATCTGAGGCTGTCTGGTGCTCAGTCCTGTGGCCTCTACAAGGACACCACAGGCTTCCAAGTCATCCAATTACAGTTCAGGAAAGCCATAAAAGTGAGTCCCTGAAGCAACTCTGGGGACATTCAAAGGGCAGAATTCAACAGCCGTCTTCCTCCCCCGGGGACTCATCAGAGGCTCTGGCCTCTGGCCAAAGCAGATCCCTTAAGGGACTTCCTTGGTGCACTGGACCTTGTTAGAAGGGGGTGTTTCTTCCCCAGGGAGAAATTAATCCTGATTTGGCTTTTCTGTCCTGGCAATATCCACCCTCAGCCTTAATAAAAACTGTGCAAATCTAAAAAGAGTATTTGGGACATCTAAATGGATAGACAGAATTTCCCCACCTCCACTGCACTGCAGGTCCCATCGCCGTTATTGGGATTATCCCTATTTTTTTTTTGATGTTTGACATGTTTGACAAGGGGGTTGTTTTTCCTGGCCAAAATTATGGGCTCCCGTTAGGATATCGAAGGACAGATTGTCTTTCCTTGAACAATTCCAACTTGTGTAGACTTCGATATGGAGAGTAACTCTGGATCATGTGTGTTGTTCAGGTGCCCAATTGTCAAAAAATTAATCTTTTCTTGCACTCAAAGTGTTACTGTTCTCTTTTTCAGTGACCAATTTCTAGATGCCTCCAAGAAAGTTGCCAAATTCTTATCAGGTTTAAGACTTGCAGTTGTTTCATCCATCCCTGCCACTATGAGGCTTGTTTTTTTAACTCTCTGTCTAGATCAGGGGTGGGGAACTTTGCCCCTTTTATGGCTGGCTCAGGAATTCTGGGAATGGAAGTCCACAAGTCACAAAAGAGCCAAAGTTCCCCACCCCTGGTCTATGTGTTAACACACCATCTTTGTATCTGATGGAATTTTATGACTGCTCTTGGATTGTAAACAAATCAACTAACCAGAATCTCTATTTCCAAAGCAGGCAGCAAACAGCTGGGGAGGGCTGTGCCTTTGCTACTCTGGAGCAGCTGTTTTCAACTTTGGCCACTTTAAAATAGGTGGATGGTCAACTCTGGGGAATCGTGGGAGTTGAAGTCCACACATCTTAACATTGCCAAGGTTGAAGACCCCTGGTCCAGAGCAAGTGGCAGCTCCCAAACTCTGCAGTTATAAGTGTCTTTCTAGGTCTTTCCTCGTGTGCATAACACAACATGGCCTGGTTGGTTGTGATGTTTCAGTCCTGGGGAGTGATAATTAGTTTTTTTGGGCAATTACTCCAAGGATATATCAAACTCTGGCACTTTTCAGGCTGAGTTCCTCTGCCTTGGTCAGGATGAGGCTCCAAAGAGTGGCAGCCACATGGAGGTGTTTACCAGGAGAGAGAGAGGAGAGAGAGAGAGAGAGAGAGAGAGAGAGAGAGAGGAGAAGAGAGAGAAAGAGGAGAGAGGAGAGAGAAGAGAGAGGAGAGAGAAGAGAGAGGAGAGAGAGAGAGAAAGAGAGGAGAGAGAGAGAGGAGAGAGAGGGGGGGAGAGAGAGAGAGAGGAGAAGAGAGAGAAAGAGGAGAGAGGAGAGAGAAGAGAGAGGAGAGAGAGAGAGAAAGAGAGGAGAGAGGAGAGAGAAGAGAGAGGAGAGAGAGAGAGAGAGAGAGAGAGAAGAGAGAGAAAGAGGACAGAGGAGAGAGAAGAGAGAGGAGAGAGAGAGAGAAAGAGAGGAGAGAGAGAGAGAGGAGAGAGATAGAGATAGAGAGAGACAGCGAGAGACAGAGACAAAGACAGAGACAATAAAACCTACACAACAACCCTCTCCAGGGACTCATCTTCTCTGCCCTCCCATTCTGTGTCCTTAATTCTCTTTTTCCGTCCCCCTTGCACACAAACACACAGGCACACATTTTAAAAAAACATTGGGGAGAAAAAATGGGATCTCTGACTGGTCCCCAAGTATGTCACAATTTTCTTCAGGGACTGTGAGGTGTAAGAAATCAATGGAGATAAATAAGTGCAGAGAAGGCACTAATAACGGAGGACAGAAATTAAGGGTGCTCTGGCCGGGTAATTAACTGCTTGCCCTCCTTAAAGTAGGAATCAGGTCCAAATGTACTTATACATCTATTAGCAGGTTAAGGTCTTTATAGGCATTTAATCCTTCCACAAAATGTTGATGAAGCTAATTATTTTGGAGGCCTCACACACAAACACCGAGAGATTTCACCATTCCTAGCTCCTAATCCATTTCATGCCAAACCAGTGAAAATGCATCAAACCATTTCACAATATGAATATTCCTAAATGCTAATTGCATAGTGAGCAGCAGAATTCCTGCCATGCAGAAGGAATCTCTCCCCCCCAAGTTCCCACATCCCTCCCACCAAGGGGTCTTTCTGGGGCCTGCAGCAGCTTCCTGCAGGGAGGCGCCCCAAGAATGAGGACTCCTGGGCAGCACCTGATGCGAAGGGAGTCCAAGTGGGGGCAGGTCTGCCCCACTGCGAGAGACCGAGGCATGGCAAAGTAGCGCAGAGGGAGAGGGCTGGAGGAGGGGGCAGGAGGGGGGTTGTTCCCGACCCCCATTAAAAGGGAGCATTCTGGGACGGGAGGAGGTGGAGGATGGGATTGGAGCCCCCATTCCCAGCCCCACCCATTCTGGGGGACAGCTCAGCTCCCACAATCCCAGCCGGGGTAGGGGGTTGCTAGGAACCAGGCAGGTCCCGGAGCCTTGCAAGGAAACAGGATGGCGGATGGCTTGGAAAAAGGGCGAAGGGGAACAGTGAACAAATCTAGACAACCCCCCCCCCCAGGCATCAAGGCCGCTTGCTGTTCTTCAGCTTTGCCGGGAGCTCAGCTGAACATGCCCAGGAAGGCAAGCAGCTCCCAGCTCCAGAATTAAACCGGATCCAGAGCCAAAGGGGTTTTTTTTTGCAGAGAAAAACGCCCAGGAAGCATCCAGGAGTGAAATACTCTCACTTCCAGGTGAGAGAAACGCCCGAGGAGGTGCAGAGACTCTACCTTGGTGACGAAGAGTGTGCGAGGGTCAATGATGTCCAGGAAGTGCCTCAATCTCCCATAAAACGAGGCCTGCGGGGAGACAGAAGCACCGGCATCAGAGAACTAGAGGGGCTCTCCTTCCCCTGGCCAAGCAACCCCCCCCAAGGCTGGGACCCCTGGCAGCCCTCCTGCCTCTTCTGCACGCCAGGCGACTGTGGCCCCCACAGACGAGCCCACCCACCAAAGCCCCGGGCCACTCTTTGCGCCGAAAGGCCTGGGGACCCCACCTCACTGCTGGGGCGGTGAGTGCAGGGGCCATTTGGGGCACAGTCTGGCCTGCCCCATACTCTTGGAGACCCAGGGCCCCTAGGTTGCCTGGGGGAAGCCCCCTGGCCCCTCAGCGTGGGGAACCCTGAGGCTCCCTGAGGCCATTCTGGGGACATTCCTATCACTCAAAGCCAGGATGTTGGGGAACCTCAAGCTCCACTTTTGAGTCCGAACCCCCAGATTTTTGCAAGCAGCCGGGGCCTCAGTGAAGAAACTGAGGCACCGCCGGGCAGAGCACCAGAAAGAGGCTGAGGCTGGCACTTCACAAGGGAAGCAAGGGTCGCCCTCCGCCCAGCACCCCGAATCTTCCCCTCCTCTTCAGAGGCAGCCTGAGCAAAGGTGGCCCTTCGATGGAGACCCCCCAAGGAGCCCCCCCCAGCAGTGGCACAAGAGCGGGTGAGGGCCCCCCGGGGTTCCTGGCCAAACGGCCGTTGTCCCAGCCCCAGCTGCCCCCTCTATGCCTCCCTGAGCAGGAATTGACCACCACACGCGGAGTGTCCATCTGGCAAAGACTGCTCTGCTCAGGGGGGGTACAGATCCCTCCCGGGCAAGGCTCCCCACTTTCTGTTGGAGCTTCTGCCAGCAGAAGTGCTTTTTTTCTGCTTGGAGCCTGAGGCAGGAGCACCCCAGGCGGCCCCAGGCAACGGGCCCTCGTTTGAAGGCACCCACGGCCCTCGGCTCTTCCTCAAGGGGCACCCGGGCACTTTACGTCTCCCTGGTGCAAAAGCTGCTCTGAAGGGGTCACCTGGATCAGCACCTGGACTGCCAAAGGAGGCTGGCACCCCCTGCCCACCTGCGTGCATTGCACAACCCTGGCCTTTTGGGACCTCAGCACGCCCAAGATCCCCCGTCCTGGAAGTGCTCCAGGCCCCTTCCAGGAGAGCATCCTTGCACCCCCAAACCCAGGCAGGTGCCCAGCCCATCCCGCGGGCACATCAAAGTGGCGATTCTCAGTCCCCCCAAGGAAGTGACCGCAGTGGAGTCCCTCCCTCCCTCCCTCCCTCCCACGCCCTGCCCAAGCCTGAAGAGTCTGAAGAAAAACTCCGTTAATCAGCACTGAAAAAAAATTTAATTGGTGCAGAACACCTCCAGCTTCTCCCTCTCACATGGCTTGGCTCACTTACAAAAGAACAAAACTAATTAAGCAAATCTTTTCATAAAATAAATTAGTTCTGGGCAGAGACACAGCAGAAAACAAAGCAGCCGCTCTCGTTAGCTAACCGAGCCAGACAGCTGGCCCGGCTCCCCACGCCTGTGCCACGCCGGCAGACTGGCCCGGAACCGGCTCCGTGGACCCAGATCGTGGATCCTCAGAGAAGGCGCATTCCTCAGGAACGTCACTGTGAGCAAGAGAGGATCAAAATCTTCGGTGCTTCCGACTCTCAGCCGTTTCCCAGCAGATGTCCAGGCAACCAAAAGCCTCAATTATTTCTGTCAGGCCACGTGGAGAGGCAGCCATTAGTGGCAGGCCACTTCCCCTGCCTGCCCTGGGAAAACGAATTCCCACAGCAGGAATCTTTTCCTTACCCAAATATCTCAAACAAGATTTGGATGGTCCCTTCCTGAATTTTTGAGCAAGTATGCATTTTTTTTTTTTGTATGTAAAGTGCAACACACCCATCTTATTCAGCCTGGAATTAAATGTAGCCTACCTGCCAATTAAATTTCAGGGATGCCCTGCTTCCTCTTTGGCCCTTGGAGTCAGGATCTCTAGTTCTCCCTGTGTGTTTCTCATGGAAATACACAGCTGAGCAATTCCAGCCATCACCCTCTTCTCTAGCCGGTTGACCGTCTGCTTCATTAACCTCAGTTGTTCCACATATACCCAAAGAGGCTTCTTTGTTGTTCATCGCTCATGCTGACCCCTTTGCCTTCCTGACTCCTTCTGTGCAGATTCGGGTTATTTGCTGATGTTCTGCTTTCTCTATGTGCTCCGTTCCATTTGTTAAACTTGTCCCTTTTTTCAGGTCTCCCTTTTCATTTCTCTTTGGGATTGATTGGGTTTGGACTTTAATTATCTCATTTCTCAGGTTCGCCAACTCTCCTCAACTGTTCCCCCCCCCCCCCAAGGACCTTCATCCATAGAATCCTTTCTGGTTTGCGCTTCACTAGTTGGGATTCTGCTCTCTTGAAATCTAAGCTATAATCTGCAACCCTCTTCAAACCCTCAACCCCACCTCCCATAAAGACACAAGCCCCATGGCAGGAGGTCACAGGGCTGCTTCCCTACTTGTTTGGGGTACCTGGGGCCTTCCCTGCTCCTCCCCTCCCCAAATTTCCTGCAACTTCTGATTCTGTTCATTCAGACTGCGGCCTCCCACAGCTGCCCCGCTGGACAAGGGCAAGGCTGGGGTGAAAAAGGGTGGCAGAAAGATGGGATAACATGTGGAAAAGGCTCCTGCTTGACTCCCTGGCCAAACCCTGCCTGTTCTCCGTTTGCTCACTTGGTGAGGGGAGTCAGCCCAGCAAGACCCCCAAAGGGTGGTGAGCCCCTCCAAAGGGATCGGCCCCTCTTCCGCAAAGGAGCAAAACAGCCTTGAGGAAGAAGCACAGGCTCCACCACACCCTTCAGAGGGTTCAAGGTCAGGAAGAAACACCCAGATAAGGTTTTCTCTCTTATCACCTGGGCAGGTTGAAGCCAGAAGGCAATTTTACGTTTATGAGCAAAGTCCACTGTTTAGAGATGTTTATGGAGACTGAACTTTGAATACAATCCATGGCAAACAAATCTGCAAAAAGGCCTTCCTGCCTGCTCTGGGCCAGAAGTAGGACAAGAGGCAGCCCTTCAAGGGCTCTGGCCCAGAGAAGGGCCAGAAGGAAAGGGAGCCTTTTGTTCTGCATCCCCGAAAGGCCGAAATTCCCCAATGGCAGATCAGGGACACTCCCGCCCCCCCGCCCCCCCCAGCAGCCTGGAATACCCCCCAGCAGGGCACCTTTGCTCCAGAAAGGCTGGCATCGCCAGGCAGGAAGACCCCGCAGGCCCTTCGTGGGGCGGCAGAGGGAGGAGGAGGAGGGGGCTCCCTTTGGCTGAAACTCCCCCCTCCTTCCCAAGGACTCGGCCGCCCCCGACGGCTCCCCCCCCGCCGAGGTCTCCGAGCGTGGGGGAAGGGAGGAGGGTCCCTGGGGTGCAAAGAGGGCAGCGGCGCTTCCAGGCGCCCCGGGCGTGGGTGAGCGCTTCCCGGTCTTTCTGTCCTTCTCCAGGCTCGCGGAGAGGGCACCACTCAGCGATGCCCAGATGAAGAGCCCGGCCCGATGCCCAGATGAAGAGCCCCGGGCCGGCTTCGAGGAGAAGGGCTCCCGCTGACCCCCCCCCCGCGCTGGAGAACCGGCGCCCCCGCCTCCTCCCTCGGGGTCAGCGCCCTCCGCCGCCAGCTGCTGCCATGCCCGGGGGGGCAGCACATCGGGGGGGACAGCTGTGCCCTGCCAGGGGTCGCACAGCCCGGAGCCCCCTCCCGCCAGGGATGCTGCCCCCACCGCTGGCACAGCCGGCACCGGCCCCTGCCAGAGACGGACCCTGCCCCCCCATCCCTCCCCCCCCGTGCGAGGGGCTACAGCGCCCAACTGCGGAGGCGCGCCCCCGGCCGCCTTCCCGCACGGACATTCGAACTCGCCACCGGAGAAGCCCCGCCCCTGGGGGAAAGTAACTGCCAATCAAAAGCCCTCCTCGCAACCAGGAAACAAGCGACAGCGGCGGCGCCCAATCACCAGGCGGGCTCGCGGCAGGGGGCGGGCTCGCGGCGGGAGTCGCTCTGCCTGGGCAGCGGAGCCCCCCGGGCGAGGGGCGGCGAAGCGCCCGCCCAACACGGCGCCCCCTCCCCGGTGCCGGCGCGCGCAGCCCCGCAGCCCACCTGCTCGAAGCGCGGCTTCCCCAGCTGGAAGGCCGGGTACCCCGCGCTCTCCGCCATCCCCGCTCGGCGCCACTTTCGCGTGCGGATTCCTCCTCGGAGCCTCGCCCGGCCCCTGGCAGCGCAGCCGGCCCCCGATTGGCTGAGGCGCACCGCAGCTCCCGCGGAGCCTGCCGGGGCGCGTAGTTCCCTCTGGCGCCCCAAAGGCAGTTCCGTGGCCGGACGGGCGTGGCCCCGCCCCCTCCGCGCGAGGGGTGCCTTGGGAAGCGTAGTTCTCCGCGCGGCCGTCGCCCCCTTCCCCAAGGAGGCGCCCCTGGGCGCGCAGGCGTCCTTTACGAACCGTTTTTAAAGAAGGTAAAAACTAACACCGATGTCAAGTAAGGAGGAAAAAGCAAAGAGGGTAAGAAAAGAAAAATCTTTGGAAAAAAAGTAAAGTGGCTTCTGATATTCTTCGTATCACCTTTAATATAAATAATCAGATATAATCACATTTCCGTCTAAAGTTAGGTCATATTACTCTTTCTATAATTTATCCAGTCTGGGCCTCGAAACTCTAAATCACAAGTCCCTTTTTTTATATTTTTAAGCAAAATCCCCAATAAATGTAAATGTGGCTTTTTCTCTAATCAAAGACGCCAGTTTACCCATCCCGGCTAGATCTGCCCAATTTCACCAGCCCCCCTCCCCCCTCCCCCGTGGGCAGTGCCAAATAACCTCTCCAGAGCAGCCATCTATTGAAATGATCTTCCACGACTCTTTTCTAACTGCACATCCCACAATCCTAGAAGCTTTGCTTTCAGTTTAAGATTGATCTTCTGTAATAGGATTCTGCATCAAGGTTTGCATGTCCAAACTTTTTTTTTTTAGCTTTTTTAAAAGCCCACGAAGCGTGATACAAGGGTCCTTCGTGTTCCTATCTCCAACGTAAACATGCACTGCCTGCGTGCGTTCTATATAATTTCTCTGGCAGACTCTGAGGAGGGGGCTCAGCCCCCGAAGGAAAATCCCATTCCCATCAGCAAAGCAGGGGGACCAGACGGAGCAAGCAGCCCCCCCCCCAAGAGAGAAGCTCCTCCAGCCCTGCCTGGCTCTGCCCTCCAAGCTCTGCCCCTCGGCCTCTTCTGCAGGGGTGAGCAGTCTGCACAAGGGGGTGGGGAGAGCAGTGCCCCCCCAGCCAGTTAGGAATAGAATAGAGCTGGAAGGGACCTTGGAGGTCTTCTAGTCCAGCCCCCTGCTCAAGCAGGAGAACCTATACCATCTCAGACAAGTGACTGTCCAGCCTCTTCTTAAAACCCTCCAGTGATGAAGCACCCACAACTTCTGGTGGCAAGCTGTTCCACTGGTTAATTGTCCTCACTGTCAGGAAGTTTCTCCTTAATTCCAGGTTGCTTCTCTCTTTGTTCAGGTTCCAAAGAACATCCCACAGAGCAGGAAGCCGAGAGAGAAGCCAGCCCACTCTCTGCAGCCCCCAAGCCTGGGCTGCTGGAAGGGAAGCAAGATGGGGCAGGGTGCACAGCCAGCTCCCAGCCCTCCTTATGCTGCGGTCTCAAAAGGCCATTTCCCACCCCCCACATCCCCTCAGCTGGGCACTTCCCCACTCCCTACAGTGGAAATCTGGGGATCCTGGAATGGGGGGGGACGCAAATTAGTCAGGACACCTGTGAAAGTGGCTATTGGGAAACACAAAGGAGAACTAAGCAACAATTCAACTATTTTTATTTTGTCTTTAAAGTGCTTAAAACAGGAAAGAATCAAAACTTTTATTAAACATCATCAACAGCACTTAACATGAGCCCCCCCCTTCCTTCCAGAGGCCACGCAGGACAAGGCGGAGCCTGCAATGGAAAAAGTTTCCCACGGGAGGGGGGGAGTTATGTGGCTACTTCCAGAGGTGAGGGGGGGGGGCTACACTGGGAGCCTCACCAAAGCAAAGGCAGGCCACGTCCAGCCAAGGTCTCCGAGACGGGGTCCACTCAAGAGATGGCCGGCAATTCGAGATGGCAGTCCAGGCGGGGGCACTCACTGCAGGCTCAAGGGTGACAGACACCAATCTCAGCCTAGGATCGCCAGCCCTGCCCACGCTCTGAAAGCATCCGGTGGTGCCCCCTCACCTGTCCCCCCCTCCAGACTCAGCAGCACCAGGCACCCAGTGCTTAAGGGGCAAGCAGTGAAAACATTTGGCAGAAACAGGACGAACAAAGATCTGGGGAGCCTCCTTGCCCAGCCATTTCCTGAGGGTGGACTGGGGGTGGTGGTGTTAGGGGCTTCCTTTCGTTTGACTTCCCTCGTGGTGATGGGCATCGGGGTTGCCTTGCTTCAGGCCTTCAGTAGCCCCCCCCCCCCAAGCCTTCTTGGCAAGGGAGCCAGGCTACCAGGAAGGGCCTGAAACCTCTAGACCAGGGGTGGGCAATTTTGGCTCTTTTATGACTCGTAGACTTCAACTCCCAGAATTCCTGAGCCAGCCATGCTGAGGGGAAAGGGAGAGGTTTCCAAGCTGAGCCAGGCTGGCTCAGGAATTCTGGGAGTTGAAGTCCACGAGTCATAAAAGAGCCAAGGTTGCCTAACCCTGGTATAGGATGCTCCAAGGGGACCAGGGATCAACCCCCCCCCAACTGCCCCCCAGGAGCTAAGGCATTCCTCCCGACTTCCAAGCATTTGTGCCTGCCTTAAAACCAGCCTCTCCTGGCTGTGAGACTTCTGGGGTCAGTAAATAAGGGGAGTGCCTATCCTCACATGCAGGCCAAATTTTGGGAGGTGGGAGTGTCAAAAAGGCACGTTTTTCTTATTACTTCAGGCAGCTGCCCCTTCTTCTGTTAGGGTGACGCTCCAGGCCAAGTGGAAGATGCAGAAAGAGGACAGATGTGGATGGTTTGGGCATGCACAGCCAGCCCTTGGTACTTCTCTGGGGCAGGCAGAGCGCCCCCAGGAGACGGCACAGGGAGGATCCGGCTGTGTGCTGGCAGGTGCTGTGTGCTGGCACCACCTTCAACACTTCTCAAATCAAGAGGAAGACACTAGCCCTCATGGAGCAAGGAAAAGCGTGTGTCCCAGGAGCTGTCCACCCAGGCAGTTTTTTCTGGGCCAGCCACCGGTGCCCTTCCCTTCACCCGCCCCCCAATGCAGACTCCCATTTCGGCTTGAGGGGAGGGGGGCATAAGAGGGCGGCAAAAGCCACCTGACGGCAGGGTGTTTGAGGTGACAAAGTCTGCAAAGGGCCAGGAGGTTCCCAGGGCCGCCCCTCGGCCAAGAAAAGTCTGTGATGCCAACAAGCCCAGAGACCCGCTGCCGGGGGTGGGGGAAGTGAGGAAGCTGGGCATCCTGGGGCGGGGGGGGGGGCTGCTATCTGCGCCAAAGGAAGGGAACCAAACCCAGGCAGGCAGGAGTGGGCGAGGCATTCCCGATGGGGGAGGCTACTGGGTGGCCTTGGCCCCCTCCCCGAGGGGGATCTGCAGCAGGGTGGGCGACTGCTCCATGATGCGCACCAGCAGCCGGTCGATGTAGCTCTCCAGCTCCTGCACCTGCTGCTCCTTCTTGCCCAGCTCGGCCTCCCGTCGCAGCAGAAGCTGGAGCAGCTCCTCCCGTGTCAGGTGGTGGTACTTGGCAGGGGGGCCCTGGAGAGACACGAGGGGGGGAGGAGAGAGAGAGATGGGGGGCTGAGGAGCAGGGTCTCCTGGGGCCACAGAGGGCGAGCTGGTTGTAAACTGCCTGATCAGCTGGAAGGAGTCGTGTGGGGGGCCAGTCAGAGGCCTGACCACCTACGAGAGCAAAGAGCCTCATCCAGACCTTTCCTGGGGGGGGGGCAGTCTTATAACATCGGCAGAAGACGATAAAGCGAGCAACTTGGATGGTTCGTTTGTGGCTCTGGTTGCCTGTGCCTGGCAAGGGCCCCCCTTCCCCCGGAGGGCTCCTTCTCTTTCCCCAGAATCCCCACCCCGGAAGGCTGCCACTCAAGGGCAGCCCTCATTTGACCATCCTCTCCCTGCCTAGCAGTCCCACCGTACCTGGGGCCCCAAACCCCAGTCCTTTGCCAGAGCCCAAAGACTGGGCAGAGGTGCCCCTGGGGAGAGGCTGCCCAGGAAGCCTGCAGGCCTCGTGACAGGTGCCAAGGGAGCCAAGAGGTTCTGGGGGGGGGCACTGAAAATCTGCAGCAGGAAACTAGGCCAGGCCTCCTGGCGAGGGGGGAGGGGGGAATCAGATGTCCAGAGTTGAAACCATGAGCAGTTGTGCCTGGCCAAGGAACCCAGAAAGGGCGCAGGGTGGCCTCCTCCTGGCTGGGCACAATAGGTGGAAGGCACAACCCAGGCACTAAAGATCCAGCCAGGCAAGTGCTCTCCACATTCAGGTGTGGATTCCCCAGGAGCACATCTGTCCTCAGCGGCTCAGCCATCATCTCACCTGTTTGGGCTCCGTCTTCTCCAGCTGTACTACAGAGCCCGCAGAGCTCCCACCAATGGCAGACTTGGGCACGAGGCGCTCCTGGCCAGCCGCCTTGACGGGGCTCGGACTGCAAGCCTGGAAGGGCTCCTCCTTGTGTGGGGACTCTGGGGCGGGCGTGCTTCTCATGGGCTTGACTGGGTGTGGACTGCAAGAAAGCAGAAGCACCATTACGCTCTCCTTTCAGATGGAGGGCTGAGAAAGGAACACCATCCCTGGCAAAAGCTATGGAGAAACCTCCATGAGGGCCAGGAAGCTGTAGAAAGCTCCCAGGGTCAGGCCCAAGAACGACAACCCAACCAAAAATCACTTCTTTACTTACTCACACTATGTGGACGGAATCTTGCCAGACTAAACCTGTACTACTCTCACAATAATGAATATAATAGAGTTAGGGTTATGTCACCATGAACTCATAGAGCAAAATGGACATAGCCAACAAACTCGGAGTGCTTGGGTATGGTTAGGAGGGCACTGACTTTTCTAGGCTGCCCTATCTATGTTTCCTGGTAAAATACATGGGAAAATCCCATTGGAGGAAAATTCCACTTAGGGTTAGGGTTAGGTCACCATGAACTCATAGAGCAAAATGGACATCGCCAACAAACTCGAGTGCATGGGTATGGTTAGGAGGGCACTGACTTTTCTACGCTGCCCTATCTATGTTTCCTCCTGGGAAAATACATGGGAAAATCCCATTGGAGGAAAATTCCACTTAGGGTTAGGTCACCATGAACTCATAGAGCAAAAGAGACACTGCCAACAAACTCAGAGTGCTTGGGTATGGTTAGGAGGACACTGACTTTTCTAGGCTGCCCTACCTATGTTTCCTGGTAAAATACATGGGAAAATCCCATTGGAGGAAAATTCCACTTAGGGTTAGGGTTAGGTCACCATGAAGTCATAGAGCGAAATGGACATCGCCAACAAACTCGGAGTGCTTGGGTATGGTTAGGAGGGCACTGACTTTTCTAGGCTGCCCTACCTATGTTTCCTGGGAAAATACATGGGAAAATCCCATTGGAGGAAAATTCCACTTAGGGTTAGGGTTACGTCACCATGAACTCCTAGAGCAAAATGGACATCGCCAACAAACTTGGAGTGCTTGGGTATGGTTAGGAGGGCACTGAGTTTTCTAGGCTGCCCTATGTATGTTTCCTGGTAAAATACATGGGAAAATCCCATTGGAGGAAAATTCCACTTAGGGTTAGGTCACCATGAACTCATAGAGCAAAATGGACATCGCCAACAAACTCGGAATGCTTGGGTATGGTTAGGGGGGCACTGACTTTTCTAGGCTGCCCCACCTATGTTTCCTGGGAAAATACATGGGAAAATCCCATTGGAGGAAAATTCCACTTAGGGTTAGGTCACCATGAACTCATAGAGCAAAATGGACATTGCCAAGAAACTCGGAGTGCTTGGGTATGGTTAGGAGGGCACTGACATTCCTAAACTGCCGTGTCTAGGTTTCCCGGGAAAATACATGGGAAAATCCCATTGGAGGAAAATTCCATTTAGGGTTAGGGTTAGGTCACTATGAACTCATAGAGCAAAATGGACGTCGCCAACAAACTCTGAGTGCTTGGGTATGGTTAGGAGGGCACTGACTTTTCTAGGCTGCCCTATCTAGGTTTCTTAGGAAAATACATGGGAAAATCCCATTGGAGGAAAATTCCACTTAGGGTTAGGGTTAGGTCACCATGAACACATAGAGCAAAATGGACATTGCCAAGAAACTCGGAGTGCTTGGGTATGGTTAGGAGGGCACTGACTTTTCTAGGCTGCCCTACCTATGTTTCCTGGTAAACTACATGGGAAAATCCCATTGGAGGAAAATTCCACTTAGGGTTAGGGTTAGGTCACCATGAACTCATACAGAAAAATGGACATTGCCAACAAACTCGGAGTGCTTGGGTATGGTTAGGAGGGCACTGACTTTTCTAGGTTGCCCTACCTATGTTTCCTGGGAAAATACATGGGAAAATCCCATTGGAGGAAAATTCCACTTAGGGTTAGGGTTAGGTCACCATGAACTCATAGAGCAAAATAGGCACTGCCAACAAACTCGGAGTGCTTGGGTCTGGTTAGGAGGGCACTGACTTTTCTAGGCTGCCCTATCTATGTTTCCTGGTAAAATACATGGGAAAATCCCATTAAAGGAAAATTCCACTTAGGGTTAGGTCACCATGAACTCATAGAGCAAAATGGACATTGCCAACAAACTCTGAGTGCTTGGGTATGGTTAGGAGGGCACTGACATTTCTAAACTGCCGTGTCTAGGTTTCCCGGGAAAATACATGGGAAAATCCCATTGGAGGAAAATTCCACTTAGGGTTAGGTCACCATGAACTCATAGAGCAAAATAGACACTGCCAACAAACTCAGAGTGCTTGGGTATGGTTAGGAGGTCACTGACTTTTCTACACTGCCTTATCTAGGTTTCCTGGGACAATACATGGGAAAATCCCATTGGAGAAAATTCCACTTAGGGTTAGGGTTAGGTCACCATGAAGTCATAGAGCGAAATGGACATCGCCAACAAACTCGGAGTGCTGGGGTATGATTAGGAGGACACTGACTTTTCTAGGCTGCCCTACCTATGTTTCCTGGTAAAATACATGGGAAAATCCCATTGGAGGAAAATTCCACTTAGGGTTAGGGTTAGGTCACCATGAACTCATAGAGCAAAATGGACATCGCCAACAAACTCGGAATGCTTGGGTATGGTTAGGGGGGCACTGACTTTTCTAGGCTGCCCTATCTATGTTTCCTGGAAAAAAAATGGGAAAATCCCATTGGAGAAAAAGTCCACTTAGGGTTAGGGTTAGGTCACCATGAACTCATAGAGCAAAATGGAGATTGCCAACAAACTCGGAGTGCTTGGGTATGATTAGGAGGACAGTGACTTTTCTAGGCTGCCCTACCTATGTTTCCTGGGAAATTACATGGGAAAATCCCATTGGAGGAAAATTCCACTTAGGGTTAGGGTTAGGTCACCATGAACTCATAGAGCAAAATAGACACTGCCAACAAACCCAGAGTGCTTGGGTATGGTTAGGAGGGCACTGACATTTCTAAACTGCCGTGTCTAGGTTTCCCAGGAAAATACATGGGAAAATCCCATTGGAGGAAAATTCCACTTAGGGTTAGGGTTAGGTCACCATGAACTCATAGAGCAAAATAGACACTGCCAACAAACTCAGAGTGCTTGGGTATGGTTAGGAGGTCACTGACCTTTCTACACTGCCCTACCTATGTTTCCTGGGAAAATACATGGGAAAATCCCATTGGAGGAAAATTCCACTTAGGGTTAGGGTTAGGTCACCATGAACCCATACAGAAAAATGGACATTGCCAACAAACTCTGAGTGCTTGGGTATGGTTAGGAGGGCACTGACATTTCTAAACTGCCGTGTCTAGGTTTCCCAGGAAAATACATGGGAAAATCCCATTGGAGGAACATTCCACTTAGGGTTAGGGTTAGGTCACCATGAACACATAGAGCAAAATAGACACTGCCAACAAACTCAGAGTGCTTGGGTATGGTTAGGAGGGCACAGACCTTTCTAGGCTGCCCTATCTATGTTTCCTGGTAAACTACATGGGAAAATCCCATTAAAGGAAAATTCCACTTAGGGTTAGGTCACCATGAACTCATAGAGCAAAATGGACATTGCCAAGAAACTCGGAGTGCTTGGGTATGGTTAGGAGGGCACTGACTTTTCTAGGCTGCCCTACCTATGTTTCCTGGTAAACTACATGGGAAAATCCCATTGGAGGAAAATTCCACTTAGGGTTAGGGTTAGGTCACCATGAACTCATACAGAAAAATGGACATTGCCAACAAACTCGGAGTGCTTGGGTATGGTTAGGAGGGCACTGACTTTTCTAGGTTGCCCTACCTATGTTTCCTGGGAAAATACATGGGAAAATCCCATTGGAGGAAAATTCCACTTAGGGTTAGGGTTAGGTCACCATGAACTCATAGAGCAAAATAGGCACTGCCAACAAACTCGGAGTGCTTGGGTATGGTTAGGAGGGCACTGACTTTTCTAGGCTGCCCTATCTATGTTTCCTGGTAAAATACATGGGAAAATCCCATTAAAGGAAAATTCCACTTAGGGTTAGGTCACCATGAACTCATAGAGCAAAATGGACATTGCCAACAAACTCTGAGTGCTTGGGTATGGTTAGGAGGGCACTGACATTTCTAAACTGCCGTGTCTAGGTTTCCCGGGAAAATACATGGGAAAATCCCATTGGAGGAAAATTCCACTTAGGGTTAGGTCACCATGAACTCATAGAGCAAAATAGACACTGCCAACAAACTCAGAGTGCTTGGGTATGGTTAGGAGGTCACTGACTTTTCTACACTGCCTTATCTAGGTTTCCTGGGAAAATACATGGGAAAATCCCATTGGAGAAAATTCCACTTAGGGTTAGGGTTAGGTCACCATGAAGTCATAGAGCGAAATGGACATCGCCAACAAACTCGGAGTGCTTGGGTATGATTAGGAGGACACTGACTTTTCTAGGCTGCCCTACCTATGTTTCCTGGTAAAATACATGGGAAAATCCCATTGGAGGAAAATTCCACTTAGGGTTAGGGTTAGGTCACCATGAACTCATAGAGCAAAATGGACATCGCCAACAAACTCGGAATGCTTGGGTATGGTTAGGGGGGCACTGACTTTTCTAGGCTGCCCTATCTATGTTTCCTGGAAAAAAAATGGGAAAATCCCATTGGAGAAAAATTCCACTTAGGGTTAGGGTTAGGTCACCATGAACTCATAGAGCAAAATGGAGATTGCCAACAAACTCGGAGTGCTTGGGTATGATTAGGAGGACAGTGACTTTTCTAGGCTGCCCTACCTATGTTTCCTGGGAAAGTACATGGGAAAATCCCATTGGAGGAAAATTCCACTTAGGGTTAGGGTTAGGTCACCATGAACTCATAGAGCAAAATAGACACTGCCAACAAACCCAGAGTGCTTGGGTATGGTTAGGAGGGCACTGACTTTTCTACGCTGCCCTAGCTATGTTTCCTGGGAAAATACATGGGAAAATCCCATTGGAGGAAAATTCCACTTAGGGTTAGGGTTAAGTCACCATGAACTCATAGAGCAAAATGGACATCGCCAACAAACTCAGAGTGCTTGGGTATGGTTAGGAGGGCACTGATATTTCTAAACAGCCCTATCTCGGTTTGCTGGGAAAATACATGGGAAAATCCCATTGGAGGAAAATTCCACTTAGGGTTAGGTCACCATGAACTCATAGAGCAAAATGGACATAGCGAACAGACTCGGAGTGCTTGGGTATGGTTAGGAGGGCACTGACTTTTCTAGGCTGCCCTATCTATGTTTCCTGGTAAAATACATGGGAAAATCCCATTGGAGGAAAATTCCACTTAGGGTTAGGGTTAGGTCACCATGAACTCATAGAGCAAAATGGACATCGCCAACAAACTCGGAGTGCGTGGGTATGGTTAGGAGGGCACTGACTTTTCTACGCTGCCCTATCTAGCTTTCCTGGGAAAATACATGGGAAAATCCCATTGGAGGAAAATTCCACTTAGGGTTAGGGTTAGGTCACCATGAACTCATAGAGCAAAATGGACATCGCCAACAAACAGATCAGAACACATTCTCTCTAGCAGCCCACACCCAGATAAGCAAGGATTAACACAAGACAAACAGTCAAACAAAAAAAAATATCCTAATAAAAAAACTACCAATAGGATAAAAACCACATCCCCACCAACTCTGGCAGGGCAAACTATTGTATATAAACACTTGCCCACATTGATTATGCTACATGCTTGGATAATGAAGTGTCTGCAAGCAGACAACTGAGCTCAGACTATCAAGGAATCCATATAGCAACAGCCATAGCAATAACACTTAGATTTATATACTGTTTTACAGCCCTCTCTAAAGGGTTTGCCCCCCAACAATTTGGGTCTCATTTTACCCACCTCAGAAAGATGGAAGGCTGAGTACACCTTGAGCCAGTCAAAATCGAACTGCTGGCAGTCGGCAGAGTCAGCTTGCAATGCTGCATTCTCATCACTGCGCCACCATAGCTCTTAATATACATCCACTAGATCAGTGAGGGCGAACCTTTTAGAGACTGAGTGCCCAAACTGCAGCCCAAAACTCACTTATATATGTCGGGTGCTGGGTGGGCATGGCCCATTGGGTAGTTGTGGCCAATTGGGTGGGCATGGCTGCATGGTAACCGCAGACCAGGTGGGACTAAAAAATTCAATTAATCAATTCCAACTTTGCGAGATTTTTTTTTCCCCCGCGAGAAGTTGAAATTGATTGATTGTTGAACCTTTTTCTTTTTTTTGCACGCAGCGGCAGAGGCCTAAAGCGAAAAGGTTTTATAAAACCCAGCTGAAGGCCTAGGACTAGGGCGATGTTGCGCATGCCCACAAAGAGGGCTCTGCATGCCACCTGTGCCACAGGTTCCCCACCATGGGAATATATCCTGAAAGGCTGGAGGAAGCACCTATCTTGCATCTTCCTCCATCTCCCTTCCTGCTCCGGGCTTTGCTGGCTCCGGCCTGCCCCCCCCCCTCCTTGGAAGGTACTGTCCCCTCCCCTCCTTCAGATCAAGCGAGCAAAGGGGGAGGGCCGGGAACCTCCCTTCCTCCCCAAACTCCCTCCTTCATCTCTGACCAGCCAAGGAACCCCCACTCCAAGAGCCTCACAAGAGGGCAGCCAAGATGGCTCCCGTATTGATCTGAGCTAGACCCCAGAAGATCCTCCTGGCTCATCTCAGCCCAGCCCCAACCAGGCCCTGGGGAGCACCCAGGTGGGCAGCTGCATCAGCACCCAGGAGACCCCTTTTAAGGAGGGGGAGGGAGCTCCAGGGCTGCATAATCATCCCTACAACTCTCTTGGTAGCCCACCGATGAGGGGTCCCCCCCATCCTGACTTACTGCAGGCTGAGAGATTTTTGTGCAGCACTAGTGCCACCTGCTGGCAACTGCGCCAACCGCTTTGCCAATGCCAAGGTAATTCCAGAGAAGGAATGTTAGCTCCCTCCAGACAGCTGTGCTAAATTTGTTGCAGCAAATCTCAAAACAGTCTGGGGTCATCTTAAAAGATTAACCTGTTTGTTACGGCACAAATCCAAGAATGTTTTGAAAACTGTTCACAAATTATAGTTAGGACATAGATATTAATTTGAAACATCTTTTTGACTTTACAGCTTGGGCTGAAATCAACATTTGGAACGCTTAAAGTATTGATGCAGCTGGAATCAAAACTTAAACAGTGTATTCAGCTGTATGTGGCTAGTCTGCAATAACAGAGTTGGACTATCCTGTTCAGAAAGCAAAGAGATTTAAAAATGTTGAATTAGTAACTTCCGGTCTTAAGGTGCAATTAACACCACTAAAATGTTTTTATTTCTCATTTGAATAGAACCCTCCAGTAGATATGCAGGAAGGACAGTATGAAATCTTTACATGCTGGAAGTGTTAATATTTTAGGAGTGACAGTAACTTGAATGAATAAATGAGGTTTTGTTTTGCAGCAGTGTGATTTCAGTTTGATAACTCAAGAATTAAAGGTGAAAAAGAATGATATTCTGAACATCTGGAATCTATTAAACATGAAGAATTTGGGGGTTTAGCATACTAGGGCTGCAGCTAAAAATAGTTTTTACGCTCATGAAAACATTCTATCACACTTGATTTAAAATCCTGGCTAAAAGAAATCTGTTCATTTTTTTATACAGAAAACTAGCCTCATATAAAACTGAGCTTTTTATTTTACATTTATTTCAACATATCTTTTTTTCCGATTCATCTGTTTTAAACTTTGTGACTGCCATTCTTCTTCCTGTTTATATTATAACTATGGGAGGAAGGAGGGCTCTGGCAGAGGAAGTGGAGGGATCGGCCTTCCCTCCGCAAGGGCTGCAAGGGTCAATGGGCTGAATGCAGCCCCCAGGAAGAGCAGGGGTCAGAGGTCAGCAGCCGTGGCAGCACCTGAAGTGGAGGGAGGGACGGGGGGGCACCCTTTTCCCTGCCTGGAGCAACCCAAGTGAACTGGCCGAGGAGGGGGGGCCCTTCTCTCCCTCACCCCCTGACCCTTTCCTACCAGACAGAGCTGGACAAGCCACACCGTCCTTTTCCTTTCTCACCTTTGACTTCAGCAGCTTTTCTGCTCCCCCACCGGCTGCCCTTGGGGAAGGAGAGCTGGACGCAGGGCCCTGACCGGCAGGCTTCCATTCGTCTCATTCTCTTAATTTTTTCCCTTGCACTGGATGTGTTACCCTCTCTCAGCCACCCAGAGTCGCTTATCAAGCAGTATAAACAGATTAAACAAACACAGGGGACGCCCAGCATTAGTGAGACTGACTCGGGCAAGACAGGTACAATAAGGCTAAAGCAGCACAACCAGGAGGCGGTTGCTCAGTTCCTACCCCTCCCCTTACAGGAAGAGGCAGGAGAGCCGGGGGGGGGGCAGGAGCTCCCACCACACAGCACCCCACGGGAGCTGCCGCCTGTCTCTGCAGGGGCAGCCCTGTCCTGGCTGTCCAGGCCCAACCAAAGGCCCCTCCATCCTTGGATCCTCTGCGGAACTATGCAAGACTAATCAAAGAGAGAAGCAACCTGGAACTAAGGACTAAACTTCCTAACAGTGGGGACAATTAACCAGTGGAACCGCTTGCCACCAGAAATCGTGGGCGCTCCATTGCTAGAGGCGTTTAGAAAGAGATTGGACAGCCGCCTGTCTGAAATGGTTGAAGGTCTCCTGCTTGAGCAGGGGGTTGGACTAGAAGACCTCCAAGGTCCCTTCCAACTCCATTATTCTGTTAAGAATCGCAGCACTTCCTCTCACAACCAGGGATGGATGTGAAAAGGCCGAATTCAAACTCCCCTCCTTTCCCCTGGGTGGGTGGCCCTTGCAGCTGCAGAGGCTGGGCTGTGGGGAGGGGGAACACTCTGCACCCACTCAGAAGCCCTTCAGCCACTGGAACACAGCTGCACCCAGGTCATCCTCTGGAGGCACGGGGACTACAATCCCCAGGATCCCCAGCCTGCAGAGCAGCTGGCCTTTGGGGCTGAGAATCTGGAGCACCGCAGGGGCTCCTGTTATGGGAAGGCCCCGTTTGGGGAGGGCTCCGGCCTCAGAGCCAAACGCTGCAGGGGCCTCCCCGGCTGGCAATCCAGGCCCACTGCCGGCCTGGCCTCAGGCACCATCCCTGCCAAGCAATGCTGGTTATTTCAGCTGAGGAGCCTTTGGGGAGTCAGGGACCCCAACGTTTTCCACCTCGCCCCTGACCAAGAAGTGGTGGCCCTTACCATCATCAGGGGGGCTGGCCTTGCACACGAGAGCCCCCCACCCGCTAGGGAGGGAGAGAGCCCTGTGCAGCTGGGAACCAGGAAGCCAGCTCAAGCTAGAAATGGGGAGGGGAGGCCAGAAATACGGGCCCCCGCCCAGGGACCCCAGCACACAGCACAGCCTGGCTCAGCCAAAGGAATCAGCAGAGAGGCCCCAGGCAGAGAGATGGGAGGCACACACTTGCAAAGTAGCGCACACAGGCACGGACACACAGACACACACCTGGGCACAGGGCCCACCCTCACCTGGCCATTTGCTGGCGTGGGGCGTCTTGAGCCAGCAGCATCTCCACGGGCAGGACTGAAGGAGCCGAGGCGTCCGTGCTGGGGGGCGAGAGCAAGGGGAACGGGGGGCCTCCGCTCTGGCCATCCGCTGCAGCCCCTCCACCGGTGGCTGGGGGCCTCAGGGCAGAAGGGAGGGGGCAGTCCGTGGGGCTTGGGAGGGACTGGAAATAAGGGGTGGAGAAGGCCAAGGGCCGGGGGCCGGGCCAGCTGGGGGCCCCCGGGAGCTCCGCAGAGAAGCTGTGAGAATGGAGCTGCCTGGGAGGGCTGGCCGCTGCAGGAACCCCCCCGGGGCCCTGGGTGTCGACTGTGGGGGAGAGCGGAAGGATGGCAGCCTGAGCCCAGGGGGCCTCTGCAGCAGGCACCTCCACGAAGGGGTTCTTCTGTGGCGAGGGGGCGGCCCAGGGGGCAAAGGGGTTGCCTGGGGTCAGCGCAGGGTCCTCGTGCTCGCTCTCTGGCTGCCCCCGGCCCTCCTGCCAGAAAGAAGCCTTCCGGAAATCCATGGCTTGGTCGTGGGGCAATCCTGAGGGGAGGTCCGGCTCGTGCTCTGGCTGCAAGGGGGCCAGCCCAGGGGCCACATCGCTCTGCCCCAGGCCGGACAGGGTTTCCAAGCTGGAGCCCCCTCCAAGCAGCCCCCGCTGCTCTTCCAAGGCGGACCAGAACGGCAGAGACGGGCTGGGCTCAACCTGTGACTCAGGGGGTCCCTGGGGGGGCTTGGGGGGTCCCTGGGGGGGCTCGGGGGGTCCCTGGGGGGGCTCAGGGGGCTGGAGGACTCTCTCTGAGCTCCACAATGAGGCCGACCCGGGCAGCCCCATCGGCCAGGCACCCTCCAGCCCCCAGGGGGCAAAGCCGGCCTCCCCATCCTGCCTGGGACTCTCAGGGACCCCCGAGAGGCCTAATCCGCCCAAGGAGAGCTGGGAGGAGCAGGTGGAGAATGGCAGGGCCTCCTCGCTGGGCCCCTCGTTCGTGGCCAAGATGGTGTCCCCTGAAGATGCCTCCTGGGCCCCCCGCTCATCATCCCCCCGAGCCTCGCCCTCTGCAAGGGCCAGTGGGAGGTCCTCGGGCCCCCCCGAGACGCCGGCTCCAATGATCACTGCTGGCACCAGGGAGACAGCAGCCGCTGGAGGGGAACCAGCTGCCCCCACCGGAGGGAAGTGCTGGTGGGGCTCCAGGTCTGCCTTTCTCAGCTGTGGACTCTCCGGCGTGCCCCAACCAGCCCCACTGGCTTCCTCGGCGAGCTGGAGAGGGGGGACCCTCCTTGCTGGCTTTGGAGGAGGGGTCCCTGGCCCCCTCGGCACCTCAGTCTGTGCTGGCCCCCTTTGCTCCTCCTGGGCAGGGCCTCGGTTGATCGGGGCGGCCCCCTCGGCCCCCACGTCCTCTCCCCTCTCGGGGTCCCACGGCAGCCAAGAGGGCTCGCTGCTTTCAGCGTCGGGGGTCGGCTGGCCTCGGGGCAACGTCTGATGCTCTCGGCCCCAGTCCAGCTGCTCCGAGGAGGGGTCAGCCAAGGACGGGATGGTCCGGTTGCCTGGGCAGCTCTCCGGTGTCCAGCTGAGCGCTTCTTCTGGGGCAACAGGTACTGTCTGCGCAGAGGAGCCCAGGTGCACCACACTCTGGCCACGGGCGGCTTCCCCTTGGGCCCGCTCCTCTCGGAGGCCTCTTGCTTTGGGGGCAGAGTTCGCTCCCTCCCCGAATGCCCCCCTCACTAGCAAGGCCTCCCCAGACCCACTCCAGGCCCGGCCTCTGTCTCCAAAGGGGAAGCCCAGCCAGTCCGGAGTCTCCAGTGAGACCCTGTCAGGGCTGGGGGGCCCTTCCTCCTGCTGTGGGGGGAGACCAGCTGCCCCCCCTGCTGGGCCCAGGGGCTCCGTGGTGGGAGGGGGTGCGGGCCCAGGAGCGGCTGGCTGAAGGCGGCTGGCGGCAAAGGCATCAAAGCCATCGTCCCCTTCCACGGGTGGGTGCGCAGGAACGGCAGCAACGGCAGCAGGCGGCGATGGCTGAAGGTGGCTGGCAGGTGGGGTGGGGGGCTCGGGCTGCGCTTCTCCGGCTTGGATGGAGGGAGGGAGGCCCTGAGCCTCAGAGACCACCCCGGGGTCCTTGGCGAGCTCTGGAGTAGCAGGCAGGCCAGGCTGGGAACTAGGGAGAAAGCGAGCAGGGAAGCAAGTTTAGTATCTGGTCGTCAAGGAGCTAGTCCTCAAGGAAGGGCCTGTCTGGGGCAGGGCTGGGGGTCTTGTAGGAGGGGCCCTCCAAGGGGTGCCCTTGGCAGTCAGGAGGGCAGAAAGGAAGGGCGGCTGCAAGGTAGCCAGCTGGGCAGGCAACTTGGGGGGCTGAGCAGAGGCAGCTTCCCGGATGACCCGGAAGGCCCTGGGAAAGAAGAGAAGGGTCCCCCCCCCAACTCTGATCACACACTGGTCACAATTCAGTGCCACAAACGATTTAGGTCCACAACAGCCACACACACACACACACACACCGATGCGATACAACCCCCCCCCCAGTGCCCTCATGGAACCACAGCAAGCAGTCTTTGCAGAAGCCAGAAAAATGGAGAACTTAAAAGCAGCACAAAGCAGCGGAAAAAAAGTGGGTCCCCCCTTCACGGTTGGGGGGGCAGGCTGGGCCTCCCCACACAAGGGTCTGGACTACTCCAAGGGCACGGTCCCTCCCAGACTCTGCCCCCAACGGGCTTTCCACTGGGGACTTGCCCCCCCAAGCTTCTTTGACCTTGCCCCCCCACAGCCCTGGGACTACCCCCCCAGGATGGCTTTGAATTCCCTCCCCCCTCCTGAAAGTCCTTCTTTTCCTGTCTCGAAAGTAACAATGCTGCACCCTTTATTGGGGGTGGGGGGCCTTGCAGGGATTCCGGGGACTGCCTCTACTCTCCCTTGAAGCCCCCAAGGCTGCCGTGGCTCCCCCTGCGCCCTGGCTTCCTTCCTCCATTTTTTATTTTACAATTTCATGCTTTTATTCTCTTCCCAATGCAGGTCTGGGGAGAGGGGCACTGCCAAAGCCTTTCCGAGAAGCTCAGCTCAGGAAGTCAGAAAGTCAGCCGGACAGTGCTGGCCCCCTGCCAAGACTGTCTGCCCTTCCACAGAACGAGCCCCTCTGGCAGCAGAGAAGCCCACCCCCACCGCGGACCTTGGACAGGCAGAAGGCGGCTGGGGGGGGGGGAAGGCACTGCCCAGCCCTTCGGCTAGATGGGCAGATCTCTCCCTCCGGACAGCCGACACCGTTTGCCTTCAGCACAGCTGCCCAATCATCCGAGGTGGAGGGGGAGTGGGCACCCCGCAGGCACCCCAGATCCTCTGTCATTCTTGGAGCTGGGAAGGGCAGCCCAGGCCTCCTTCTCCACTAGACAGGCTGAGACCAGGCTGGATTTGCCTACCAAGGGTAAACCATCGTGGAACCATGCCCCGTCCTCTCTGCCACGGGGTGCCTCCTCTCCTGCCTTGGGGATGCTCTAGCTTCTCCCCAAAATCACTTCTGACTCTGCGGAAGAGCCGGAGGGCCAGGAAACTGCAGGAATCAGCCTTTCAGGATCCTTGGTCAGGTGCCAAAAACCTGCTCCACACACACAAAGGCCCAATTTAACCGACTTATGGCCGGCACCCACTTGGAGTCCGATAAGGGTCAATGCAATTTAAGGGAGGTTGGAGTTAGTTCCTTTGTGCCTATGTGACAATTCCAGGCTGATTCCCCTTTTCACTCCTCCCCCTAGCTCTGCCGGTCCTTCTCCGACAGTCTTGGCCTGATCCTTCCACAGTTCTGAGCTGCTCACTTGCCTCACCTTCCAGTCAAATTGTGGCTTTTCTGGCCACTATAAAAATTCTTCAGTGGGCACACGGATTGAGCTACCCTCTTATGCTCCCTTTTTAAACCATGCACAAGTTGTGATCTACAGTACAGATAATCACGGACTCTGCTGCCTTTTCTGTTACCCCCCAGAGGCAGGCAAAGTGAATCAGGGATGTCTGTGGGGGGGGGGGGGGACTGTCTCCCCCAAAGGCACGTGAGAGAAATGCAAGGGGGGGGGCCTTTGGTGCTTTGCATGTTCCTCAGCCGGGCATCTTCCTGAGCCCTGGGCCACAGTTGTATTTCGCTCGCCAAACCCAAGTTGTGAGCAGCTTTGCCAACTGCACCATCTTCCGAAGAGAGATGGAAAAACAGCTCAGCTGCTCTTTCAACCACGGCTGCAGCTGAGTTTTTAGAAATGGTTTCTCAGCCCACTTAACTTCCCCCCCTCCGGATCATCTGGCTCTGCTTCAGCGGATAAACCTGTTGCTGAACTAGCCAGACGGGTGGCATAGAAACGTAATAAATAAATCTATCTTCATACACATCTTTAATTTGGGATTGCCCCCCCCCCAGAGTTCTTCAAAATGGCCCAAGGTCTTCCTGTGCTGCTCTTTTTCGGTCTTCTCCCGTTTCCCTCTCGGCAGAAAGGTTTCTGAGATCTTCTTAAATAAAGATCTTGTCCTGGCTGTCCAAGGGCTGCTTAGGTGGCAGCAGTTCCTGCCCTCCGCTTGGGGCAATTTTTCCTCTGGCTTTCTTCGGCTTTTGTTTTTTTAACCTCTCCGCTGAAGGTCTTTCCCCCTTATTTGCTTAACAGCATTTTGGAATAATTTTGCTTCCTGACATCATTTCAGTTACTCATCAAGTCTAATCCGCTGCGTCTATTTTTAGCTCTATCTTGTGATGATACGGAATACAGCGGAGGTCACTCCTGGCCGGCCTGACCTTTTCCTTTCCTGCCGTTGGGAGAGGCAGGGAACCGTTGGGAGAGGCAGGGAACCGGTGGTGGGTCTCCTCCTTTCTGATGGCCCAGCAGAAACCCTGACCTTCCCTGCCCCCATTGGGAGGTTGCAGGGGGGGCTCCTCTGGTGGCCTTGAGGCCGGGCCTGCCACGAATCTGGATTCTTTTTTTTCCTGGCTGAACTTCCTCCCCTCCTCCTCGTGATGCCCTGAAGCCAGATCTCCGTTTCTTTCCAGATGTTTGTTTACTTCCCACTTGAGCACTCCGGTCTCCTGTAATCAGGATGGCGGCTCTTTTGGGTGCATTGCTGAGCACACCCTCCCTCCACTTTTGTGGGTTGCTGTGATACAGGCAGTCCTCAAAGTTACAACCGATCTCCCTGGGGATGCTTACGATTCAGTTCCAAAGGTCCAATGGCCACACCCCCTGTGGTCACGTGACTCAATTTCGGGCAGCCGATCCGTATTTACAACCGTCTGCATTGTCCCATGGCCGCGTGACAGTGTTCTGCGGCGTTTCTGCCCAAAACCGACACTTGCATCCAGTTTTCAGCAAAACCAGACAACGGTGAACAACCAATTCATTTAATGACCACCACAAAAAAAAACTTTGTAAAATCAGGCCAGACACGTGGCTGACCTGTTTTATGGCCATCACAAATTATGACCATAATGGGGAGCTTCCGTTAAGAGTTATAAGTCGAGGACCACCTATACGAATAAGGTTAGCTGGGTTTTGAATTGAGGTATGTGACCCTAACACCATTGTGTTCATGATGGTTACTCCGTTTCTTCTGCTTTTTTCGACCACAAGAGACAACTTGCTACTCTTCGGTTGTAATATGAGGTGACCCATGCCAAATGGCCAGCATATCAACTTCCAGTCTGGCCAGGTCGCCTTCCGCCGTGGTCCTCTCCTTCCCTCCAGCCGGGCATCGTTCCCAGCTTCAGCCCAGCCACTTCAGAAGCATCGAAGCTGCTGCTGCTGCTCCCGTTTGACCTCCACTTTCCTCCCATAGCTTCTTGGAGGCCGTCTGACCAGGGCTCGGGGTCATCGCCCACTATCACGTTGACCTTGACATGTGAACGCCCACTTGGTTTTCTCACTCAAGCAGTGGGAACCGTTTCCAGCGGATGGTCACTGGCCTCCACCCCAATCTATGCAACCAGGCCAGAATGTTGGAATGGGGGATCCCCTCTGGATGGGGTGGTGGACCCTCCCTCCCCCAAAACTGCTCCAGAGGCCTCTGAGACACGCAGGCCCTTTCCCCGCCACGGAAGCCCCAGACCCAAAATGGGGGCCCAGCACTACACAGAGGCTGCTTAGTCCCTGCAGTGCTGGCTCCTCCGTTTTAATCCCGTTTTCCCCAAAGGAACTCAGGAAGTAGCTCCAGGGGCTCCTGAGGGTCCGGAAATGACCACAGCTCCATTCCAGTGGCCGCCATTTCCAGAGAGAGGTGGAAATGCTCTTTTGGGGCTGCCAGCAGATGGATTCTTCCACCCAGGGGGGGCCTCCGGGGGCACACGGGGTGGCCAGGAAGCAGGCAAGGGAGGAGTGGAAGCCCAGCGCTGCGCGTCTCCTACTAGAAAGCCATTACAGCCGTGCAGGGGGCAATCCAGAGTGATGGGCTGAACTGGGACCCTGTTCTCTTCGTCCCAAGCTGACTGGTGCAGCAAAGAGTGGTGATTTTCATCTGGGGGCCCCCACCCCCACCCCCACCTGCCCCCTTCTAGATTTCCTCCTCCCTTTTGCTGCCCTTCCAAAGAGGGCCCCCCCCCGGACTCAAATGTCCAGCTGCCGTAATGACAGAACAGACCCCATTACAATCAGGCAGTGGCCAAGCACAGGCGGTCCCCAAAGGTCCTCGCGGGCCCCGTTCCCCCCTGGGCAGGGGTCTCGGAAGCAGCTGCCACAGTAACGTTGCCTCGCAGCCTTGCCACAGGTGTCGCCCTGGTTCATCTCCCACCTGGCCTTCCTTTCCACAGCAGCTGGATCCTGGCCAGCAGCTGCATTCATGCCAATTGGGGATTTCCAAGGCAATCCTGGCACTGGGAAGGTTGGGCAACCCCCCAAACTCAGGCAGCTGCCCCCGGCTCCGCAATCAGGCGCCTGAAGTGCCCCCGTCCAGGCAGCTGCCCCTCCAGGCGTTCCCTCCCACCTGCAAAGGGTCAGCAACAGGGCTGGACCAGAAGTGCCCCTTCCAACCGCCGTCCCACAGATGCCGGCTCACCTGGGCTTTCGAATCGGCTCTCTGGGATCTTGCTGGTAGATCCAGCCGCTCCGAGGTTCTTCTTTCCCTCCAGCTGCAGCCTCCAGACTCGACCCGGGCTCGGGGCTCTGGCCCCTGCCGTCCCCACGATGGCCCCTCTTGTCCTGAGGCCTCACCCTCCTGACCTCCGGGGGGAAGGCCAGGGGGGCAGCCATGGGAACGGGCTGGCTCTCGGCCTGCAGGCCCTCCTCCCTCCTGGCTCGGACCCGCTGCTTGTTCAGGGCGATGGTCTTCACAGACAGCTTGTCTTCTTCCTGCGCCGCCAAAATGGGGGGCGACGGGATGAACCGGGGGAGATCTTTCGGGGGTCCTTTCTGGAAACTGCTGGCAGCCCAGGGCGGCAGGTCTGGTTCAACAGCAGGCGGTCCGGCCACCGAGGAGCCCCTCTCCTGCTTGCCGGGATCGCTCTGGGTGGGAGGACGGGGGGCCAGCGAGAGGAAGGAGGGCTTGGGGGAGGGCTCCTCGCAGTAAATGTGGCTCCCATTGATGCAGAGCGAGGACCCGGAGGAGGAGGGGTCTTTGGGGGGCCTCAGGCCCTGCAGGGCTTCTGGCAGCAGGTTGATCTGGGCCACGTCATCGCTGAAGGCCCTCTTGTGGGTCAGCTGGGGGGAGGGCAGAAAGTCTCTTCCTGGGAGGGAGGGAAGGAGTAAAGACCGGTCAGCCCAGCTGCTCTGCCCCACAAAGGGAAAAAATGGAGGAAATCCCCTTCATTTGGAGTATCATCTTTTCCAACTCACACATTTTATTGAAAATCAGAAGGTTTTGTGGCCCACATCTTACGCCTTTAATAAAAATTGTAATTGGAAAAAGTGCTACCAAACCTTTTGGGGGTTTCCCCCCCAAAAAACTGGGTAATTCACCCAGCTTAAAAGTTGGGTGGTGCTGAAATGACCGTCAGACGCTCCATACCCGGGGGGGGGCTCACTCCCAATCCCCTGCCTTGCTCCAGACGGGCCACGAACGTCTCTCCTCTTGCACCCAGGCCTCCAAAAAAGCCCCCCAAAGCCCCTCCTCCCCAAGACGAGACCCAGAGGGGCCCCCCTGCCGGATACTGCAGCCGGGCAGCCGTCCGTTGTTCCCCCTGGGGGGGGCACCGAGAGCAGCAACTCAGCCCTCTGACTCAGGAGGGCAAAAGGAGCAGCATCTGCGGGAAGGGGGCGGGGGGGGCATCCTAGAATCCCAGGGAGGGTCTTTCCAAGGCCAGCCGGCACAGCCCCATCCCTGGCCACCACCACCACCCCGGCTTACTTACCGGCAGGGTCGGTGGAGAGGCTGCTGTGCCGGCTGGGCGAGGCCGCCCCCTCGGCGCTGCCCAGGCCCCCCAGGCTGCTGGCGGAGGAGAGGGTGCTGGCGGAGCCCAGGGAGGTGCTGGAGCCGGTCAGGGAGGAGCGGTGCAGCTGGCTCCTGAAGAAGAAGCCCCCCCGGGCCTTCTCCTTGGGGGGGCCCAGCCGCAGGTCCTCGTCCAGGGCCCCGCTGCTGCTGGGCACGATGGCGGAGGAGGAGTCCAGGTCGTAGCGATGCTTGCCCGTCATCTTGTCCCTCAGCCGCCGGAAGGGCGAGCGCGGCTTCTCCTTGACGGACAGGTCGAACATGCTGGCCGTCAGGGTGGGGCGGGTGAACTGCAGGCTCAGCTGGATCTCGCCCCGCTCCTTCTCCTTCTTGCCGGGCTTGGAGTGGAGCTTGTACCACCTGCGGGGACAGGAGGGAGGGCAGGGCATCAACCCAGAGACCCTCGCAAGGGGCGGGGGACGTCCTCGCGACCCCTCACTCCCAGCTGCCCTTCCCCGCCTGGCCCTAACGCTGTCCGGCCCCTTGGCAGGGACGTCTGGGAGCTGCCACTCCAGGGGCACGAGGTTGGGGAGTGCCCAGAGAGTGCCCTGCTCTCTGCCACCCTCTCCCGGCCTTCTCTTCCTGGGACTTGCCCTGATCAGGATTCGCACGGAGGGCCCTCTCTTCTGCTCCGGCACACCCCACCCCGTAAAGAGGCAGGCCGGTCCCTCCTCTGCCCCGTCTCAGCAGGGCTGTGCCCAGGGTGTGTGTGTGTGTGGGGGGGTTCTTCTTCCTTTCCACCAAGAAAAGCCAGCAGCTGCCCCACCCACACAGCTGGATGGCCACAGCTGCCAGGCTGCAATCTACCATCCTCCCACAAAGGGTCCGCTCTAACTAAGCTCTGGGCCCCCCACCCTTGCAGGTTCCCCTATGAGATGGCGGAGACCCTGCCTGGTCCCACCTTTGCCCGTGTGCCAACTCTTGCAAAATGCCCCCTCTGTGCCAATGAAACAGATGCCAGGGAACTGGATGCAATGGCTCTCCAGAATGACCTCAGGGGCAACAGCAGCAATATGGGCAGGTCCAGAGGCTCAGGAGAACCCCTCCCTTGCTTCCTGGGCAGTAAAGGGGATGGGGGGGGGGACGAGTGAAATGGACTTTCAGATTTGCAAGACCCCGTTAATGTAACCCAGTGTTTCCCAAACTTGACAATTTTAAGGCATGTGGACTTCAACTCCCAGAATTCCACAGCCAGCAACACTGGCTGTGGAATTCTGGGAGTTGAAGTCCTCATGCCTTAAAATTGTCAAGGTTGGGAAACACTGGTGTAACCTTACAATAAAGCAGCTCCTCACCTGAAGTCTGAAAGTCCACTTCTCCTCCCCGTCCCCTCCACAGCCCCCAGACTAGGGAGGGTCTCTTCGGTGCCTCCGGCTCTGCCCACATTCCTGCCCAGGGCAGGGCAGCTGCCATGACTGCTCCCGGATGTCTCTCTCCGCCCTGCAGCAGGAGTGGGCGACTGTGGCCCCTTGAGGACCTGTGGACTTCAACTCCCAGAATTCCTGAGCCAGCCAAGCAATTCTTCCCACAAAAAGACAAAATGTTTATACACCGTTTTGGAGTCCAGATTAAATGAGCCCGCAGCTTAGCAAACGACTGGCGAAAGGGGGCAGCTGTGCCCTTCCCTGTTGCTACCCTCGTGAAGGACGCTTTCGGACAGACTCAGCCCTGCTCTTTGCCCTTCCTCGTGCAAGGCACCGGCCAGCCTTCGCCAGCACACCCAGGCAAGATGGTGGGCAGAGAAGCTGCCACAGAAGCACAGAAAGCAGAGATGGAAATGACCATCAGGCCGCCTGGTCCTTAAGGAAGGGGCACTGCGCATATAAAGAGAAGTTATAATGCTTTAATACAGTGTTTCTCAACCTTGACCATTTTAAGGCATGTGGACTTCAACTCCCAGAATTCCACAGCCAGCAACGCTGGCTGTGGAATTCTGGGAGTTGAAGTCCACATGCCTTAAAATGGTCAAGGTTGAGAAACACTGCTTTAATAGAATTGGATTCGGAAATGGATTTAGTTAAAGATTGTATGGTAAAATGGGCCCAAAATATTCAAGAACCGATTCCATTGGATCTATGGGAGGTAATTTGGGTTAGAAATGTACCCAGGTCCAAAATTTAAGAGAAAATTTTTATAAAATGTTTTATAGATGGCATCTGGATCCTAAAAAGTTGTCTTGTATGTATCCCAATTTACAGCCCAAATGTTGGAGATGTGGTAGCTTGGATGCTACTTATTTTCATATCTGGTGGACTTGTAGAAATATAAAAGCTTTTTGGATTAAGATTTGGTGGAACATTCAAAGGATTTTTAGGAGAAAGATAAAGTTTACTCCACAATTATTTTTATTGGGTGTTATTGTAGATTGTGATGCTAAAGAAATTAACTTGATGTTGAATTTGATAACAGCTGCAAGGTTATTGGTAGGGCAATATTGGAAGAAAGATTCCTTGCCTACTATAGAAGAATGGACGCTTAAAGTGTCAAATTTAGCAGAAATGGCGAAAATTTCTGCTTACTTGAAGGATCATTCACAAGAAAGATACATTTCGGTCTGGAGAAGATGGATAGATTATATTCAGAATAAATATGGGACTAAAAAGTTCCATTTTGTTTATGAGTAAATTTTAGAGTATTATTATTATTAATAGTTTATTATAGTTGAATTTTTTTATTCGTTTTATTATTATTTTTAATATTAGTATTGTTTAACAATTTGGATATTGTATTGTTTAATAATATTGACTTGTTTATATTATGTTTATTTTTAATAAAGGGGAGTTAAAGCGCATTATGGACTTGGTTATTTATACAGTTGGTTAATGTTAGTTAGAGTTTGATTATTATATTGGTAACCCTGTACTCAGCTCTGGAAGTGGGGGAGGGAGGGGGGTTGGGGTGGGTGGGTTTTGGGGTGTATACTGTAATTTTTATAAAACTTTTCAATAAAAAAAGGAAGGGGCTCTGCAGATCTTGACCCCCACCCTTTAAACAAAGCAGGGCATAACTGCCGCAACCCAATTTATATAGCTGCCCATCTCCAAGGTCCCTTCCAACATCGTCATCATCATCATCATTATTGTTGTATTATTATTATTACTATTACCATCTTTACGGTCTCATTAGAACAGTAAATGCCATTAGCACAATCATAACTACAGGAAAGCCAAGGAAAACTTCGCAGTCAGAGGCACATCCAGGAGTCAGGTCTCTTCACACATTCAGAGCCCCAGGCCCAGCCAGGTCTTTAGGCATTACTTAAGGCCAGCAGGATCAGGCCCCCCCTAATCGCCAGAAGTAGAATATTCCAGAAGGTGGGCACTATGGCAGCAAAGGCCCATTTGCCAGGCCCAGCAATCCCTGGCCGATGGGAGCCGAGCGTGCCCCCCCTGCCAGACCAGACGGGATGGGCAGAAACAACTGGGGAGAGACCCCAGTCCCATGAGTCCCCCAGCCCCAAATCGTAAGGGCTTCACAGCTGACAACTAGCTGGAAGCAGACAGGGAACCAATGCAGCTGGCAGAGGCGTCCCACGCCTTGAAATCCGAGACCGTTAACTGTGCCTGCAGCCCTGCTCTGCGCCAGTGGAAGCTCTCAAATGGACCTCAAGGACGACCCCAGGCAGGTCACCCTTGAATTTTGCTTCCGTAGACTTTATATTTGCATAAACCGTTGCTTGCTCTTCTGCCTCATGTTCTCTTGAGGCAGCATAGATGGGAAGGTCCTCTGTCTAAAACAGGGGTAGTCAACCTTGGCTCTTTTATGACTCGTGGACTTCAACTCCCAGAATTCCTGAGCCAGCCATGCTGAGGGGAAAGGGAGAGGTTTCCAAGCTGAGCCAGGCTGGCTCAGGAATTCTGGGAGTTGAAGTCCACGAGTCATAAAAGAGCCAAGGTTGACTACCCCGGTCTAAAAGGTTGAGCTGAGAGGGGGGGGGGTGGTGGTGTTTGTGTGTGTGTGCACTGTGGGCCAAGGAGGAGAGGGAGGGAGGGCCCATCCCTGCCCCAGCTGCCTCCCAGCCAAAGGGCCAAGGAGGATTTCCTACCGGGGCAGCCTGCAGGCGTCCTGCCTGTGCTTGGCAACGCAGACCAGCTTCCCCAGCTCATCCCTGCCAGCCCGTTTCCAGAGAAATGTTTATTTGGAGAAGCTTCAGGAAGGTGGGGAAGCACTTCCCAACACATGACTCAGTGGAGGCCTGTCAACATCACACTTTTTCCAGCCCACAGCGAAGGAGAGGACAGATCCACCACAATCCAGCCTGGGCAATCTAGGCAGACCTTTCTCCAAAGCCCGGGCAGAGCTGCTGGGCCAGTTTGCTGCTCCTCTGTTTGCTTGAACAGGGCTTTTCAAGCTTTTTACCCATTGTACCACTTTTAGGATATGGCAATATCCAAGTAACACCAGTTGCCTAGCAAGGTGTCAAAAACCTGATGACCCCCCCCCCAAAAAAGGGAAAAAGTGATAAAAGTACAGGTAGTCCTCGACTTACAACAGTTTGCTTAGTGACTGTTCAAAGTTACAGTGGCACTGAAAAAAGTGCCCCACAAGCCACAGCTGAGCAAGACACCTGCCTGCCCACCCAGCGGCGCTCTTCCTCCTGTCCGAGGTTTTCATTGTTGTGAGCATTTCTGTTGAGGAGTGGCAGCGGGGGTGGGGTGGGGGGTGTTTGGTTTTTATTCCCCCCGTCTGCTGGGTGGTTACAGCAGGTTTTGGACACTTCACATGACCCTGGGACACTGTGACTGTCGTAAGTATGAATCAGTTGCCAAGCATCTGAATGTAAATCACCAGACCCTGGAGATGCTGCAACATTCCAGCTGATCGGCGCTTTTTCTGGGCTCAGCAGAAGCACCAGGATCAGCGCTGAGCTCCAGCTGGAGCCTGGCGCTGATCCTGGTGCTTCCACTGAGCCCTGACAGCCCCAAAGAAGTGCCAATCAGCTGGAAAGCAGCACTGATCCTGGCGCTTCCGCTGAGCCCTGACAGCCCTGCAGCTCCAGCCATCTCTTGCTCAGGCTTGTGCGGTGCTGCCACCGGTTCAGCCCATTCCTCTCCCCTGCTACCACTTTTCTAGGATGGTCGCGTACCACCTGCCAGGTGCTAATGCACCACAGGTGGTACCCGTACCACTGGTTGAAAAGCCCTGAACAGGCAGCCACCGGCTTTGGGACTCTGCTCGCCCAGTGCAAAAGGGCCCGAGGGAAAGGCTGCAGGGCCATGTTGTGGGGCCCCGCAGATCTGGGCCTCAAATGGCCCCTGTACCTGGCAAAGAATCTGCTTACAATTTCCAGCTTCTCTGCTCCATTCCTTCCAGGGAGGGGCTTGCTGGCTCAGCCGCTGAATAGCCCCCCCCCCCGACAG